TTTTTCCTAGTGAGTACCCATTTTGTAACAGGTGTTGTGCGACATTTGATCTTTCCGGTTTGTTGTTCCTCCACGCAGATATGTGGTTTTTGAAGCGGTTAACGAAGTTTACAGTCTGTCCAATGTAGAAGCTATCACAATCGTTACAATTGATTTTATAGATGCCCGAAGTGTCGAATTTGTTACAATCTTCTATTTTTGGATGCAGTATTTATTCATGGTGTTCTGGGTTCTGTAGGCTATTGAAACTCCGTATTTCTTGAATCTGTTAGCAGTCCTTTGTGTTGTCGTCCCCGTGTAGCTAAATGTGATATATCTGGTGTTTTCCTCTTTTATCTCTTCTAATGTTGTTCTGCTGTGTAATGTATTCTGTCTATCGATTTTCCTCCTCGTCTTCCTTGCGATGTCCTCTATCGTCTTGGTTCGAAATCCATTCACTTGAGCGATCTTCTTAATGGTGTCCAGTTCTTTTAGCGAATTTCCCATATAGGGAATATTAGCGAATTTCCCATATAGGGAATAAGCTATTACCGTAGGTCTCATGGTAAGATCTGCACCCGGGACCGATTTAGTTTTTCGTTTTGAGGTCCCCAGAGGCCAAAAACACCATCCGTTCAAATTCATATATATATATATATATATATATATATATATTTATATATGTGTCCGTTAGCGCGATAACTCGAGCAAAAATGGTCCGATTTTGATGAAATTTGGTATAAACGTGTAAACCTACATTTATTTGAACGAGTTCGCGAACCAGCATGATCGGACTATGGGAACAGGGGTTTATGGGGGGTTTTATGGGGTAAAAATGGGTTTTTCTAATTTTTCACCCTGAAAACATAAAATTTTGCAATTTCTTTCTAAACCATTTTGTAGAGCTCAAAAAAACAAATAATTTAGTATATTGAAGCATTGTTGCATGCCTAACGGTTACGGAAAAATTGCAAAATAATGTAAATTTAAAATTACCATGTTATTCTTATGGAGAATAAATACAGTGTTTGTAGCTTGCTTGTGTATGGACATATATTAATGAAATTTTGAAATTTTGTTTACTTCATACTGAACTATTAATATTTCAATAAAAACCCCCTATTTTCTTCCCTGTAGCAGCAAACATAAGTACTCATTAATATTAATGATGTTTAAATAGGAAATAAATCTGACAATTTTAAGGGAGCAATTTAGTGGAATTCCAGCTTTGTATATGGAAATTCGCTTAGTCTGCAGGTTTGCTGCGGCGGGGGTATTTTCCTATTGGCTTGGCTAAGTGGGATCTTATAGGCTCGGTACAGCATAGATCTAAAGGCTGCGGTCTTGTGGATTGTCGGATGGATAGACTTGTTGTTGATTGTAGTGTCCGTTTGCGTAGGTTTCCTGTAGATGTCAAACTCTATCTTGCTGTCTTTTCTCTCTAATGTGAGGTCCAGGAAGTTGATCTTTTTGTTTTCTTCAAACTCGTTGGTAAAGGTGAGGTTCGGCTGGTGGCTGTTTAGTGTCTGCATCATCGTTTCGTGCTCCTGCTCCTGGGCTTGTCTGAAGATAACAAGAATGTCGTCTACATATCTAACATACAGTTTTACATCATGATTCTTTCTTAAATTCATTAACATTTTTTTTCCTGATGCTGTAAAAATATTTCTGACAAAATTGCCGAAAGTGGACTTCCCATAGCTAAACCATCTGTTTGTTCGTAAAATCTATTGTTAAATCTAAAATAATTTTGCTTCAAAACTGTCACAAGCAATTTTACAATCTGATTGACATATTCATCGTCTAAACTATTCTGTAAAAGCCTACATTTAACAAGATATGCAGTTTCGGATACAGGTATGTTTGTGTACAGATTTGCGATATCAAATGAGGCTAGCCTACTATTCGAATCTATATCTATGTTCTTTACACGTTCAACAAATTCATAACTATTCTTTACATTGTATACATATTCTAATTCTAAATCATTGCTGAGCTTACTTGCTAACAATTTTGAAACATTGTAGGTAGGAGCACATTTAAAGTTAACTAATGGTCTGATGGGAACATTCTTCTTGTGTATTTTTGGGATCCCTTTCATCGCGGGCGCTTTAGAATTTAGGATGTTCATCTTCTGTCGACATTCTTCGGGAATCACTCTGGTACATCTCTTCACGACGTCGGACAGCTCTCTTTGGTACCTCTGCGTTGGATCCTTTCTCAGCTCTTTGAAGTTATTTTCTTTGATGAAATCTTCCGTCTTCTTTACATATTCTTCTTTTCCGAGTACTACGATGGCGTTGCTTTTGTCTGCTTTCACAACGATTGAGCTATTCTCTTCCAGTTTCTTCTTTATTTTGTTGCACGTCTTCAGTTCACTTTTCACTTTTTTGTATATTTACCGTCTTGTGAGTAACAGTATAAGCGTAAATATATGTTTCAAGTGTTATAAGACGTTTCTTTTTTACTTTCCGTAAATCTAATAACACGTACAATGCTGATCAAGAAGTTATCAAATATAAGAATAAAGAAACATGTCACATGATTGTAGAGAATATTATATGCCTATTTATAAACCAGCTGTGGAATTGTGAATTAATGTGGTTTGACAGTTCAGCTTGTTTACATTTGGGTGGCATAGCAAATTATAGCGTCTAGATACTCAGAGCAACGAGTCGGCTCACCGGAGCAAGACAAAATGAGAGCATTCTATTGGCTGAGGGAACACCATTACCGCAACGATACGGTTTGGAGCCATCGGCCTTGGTGGTGAAATGGATAGCGTGCCGGGCTGAGAATCTGATGGTACCAGGCTCGAATCCCATCGATGGCACAAACTTTTTGTCTCAGATTATTGCATTATCAGCAAGTTTGGTTAGTTTTGTTAGGTTATGACAGTTTAATTTTATAATTAAAACCTTATAAAATTGAATTTGAGCTATTTATAGTTTTATTTTATGAACAGAACTTATTTTTTCGATTAGTAAACATTCATTTAATTTTTACATTATCAGCAAGTTTGGTTAGTTTGGTTAGGTTATGACAGTTTAATTATATAGTTTAAAAAATTATAAAATTGAATTTGAGGCATTTATAGTTTTATTTTATGAACAGAACTATTTTTTCGATTAGTAAACCTTCATTCAATTTTTTCATTATCAGCAAGTTTGGTTAGTTAGGTTAGGTTATGACAGTTTAATTTTATAATTAAAAAATTAATTTTATATTTTTTTAGTTTTATAATATTTTTTTTATTTCTAATTTTAAACTCTCATTTTGTCCGTATTAAAAAACTGCAGCTGAAATAAAAATTGTGCAGCCCAGACTGTTGCTTCGGTGAGCCGACTCGTTGCTCTGAGTATCTAGACGCTAGTCATAGCAAATTGCAAACATTGTAGGCCTATGTGTTCTCATGGCAGCCATGGAAACCAATCAATATTTAGGCCTACTTTTAAAATCCTCACCTTAGAACTTTTAAAGCCAAAGGGGCAAAGCCCACGGCCAGTATCGAAGTGTGAATAGTCCCATAAAGGTCCTTGGTATGGTAGCTGTATTTTTGTATAATTTAAGCCCAGTCAGTTCAGTAGTTTATGCGCCTATTAGTAACACACATACAGACAGACACCATTAGATTTTTATATAATAGTATAGATAGATTTAATTTATTGTTTACATTATAGAATAGGGACTAAATAAATAACAATTGACATTATTACCACCTTCATAACTGCAATCAGATTGTTTATCTTTATTTTGAAATGTTTGTTTCTATAAAGAATCTCTTGGGAGCATAACCTGTACATCTTAACCTCTGCTCTTCGAACTGTCAAATTTAAGTATTTACAGCTGACTAAAATTAATTGATATATTTACATTCTTTCAAAATGTAAACATGGAAAATTTTGAAGCCCATGGGGTGTAGCCCAAGGGAAATATGAAAATTAAATTATATAATATTGCATTGTCATCCATTTGTGAGCTATTTTTTGAATTTCAAGTCTCTAGCTCATCAGGAACATCGTGTAAAATTGATACCGTATCAAATTTTGTAGGAAAGCGAGCAAATAAAAACAAGCCCATGGGGCGTAGCCCAAGGGAAATATTAATATTAAATGATATAATATTGCATTGTCATCCATTTGTGGGCTATGTTTCAAGTCTCTAGCTCATCGGGAAGTAGGCTATCAAAATTTGCAAGAAAGCGAGTTAATAAAAACAAGCCCATGGGGCAAGGAAATATGAAAATTTAATGATATAATATTGCATTGTCTTCCATATGTGAGCTATGTTTCAAGTTTCAAGTCTCTAGCTAATTGGGAAAGTAGTATAAAATTGATTGCAAAATTTGTACCGGACAAGAAAGCGAGCTAATAAAAACATTTTAAAAATAAAACAAGGGAAGGAATAGCCTAAGGTTGACGGATATATCCGTCAGCCGCCCACAAGAATATTCAAGATTATTGGCAGTGTTCATATTTTGTGATTATCACTGAGGGCGGCAGACGGATATATCCGTCCACCTCGTGTTTTTTGTGGGCCAAAGACGGATGTATCCATCAAATCAAATTTTATTTTCTTCATAACTTTTGTACAAAAATTAGTTCAGCCCTAAGGAAAATCTTTTCATGATCTATGAATTATTTCAAGTAAAATAAGTACAAAACACAACCACTTTAGTTTTTAATTTTTGGCAAAAAATAATTTTAAGCTCCAGCCCTTCATTTAATTTAGCCCTGGAAGGGTTTGCCCGTTTTAACCGACCTTTTGAGTTATCCGACCAAGGTCTGGAACTGTCAGGGCCGATTAAGAGGGGATCTACTCCTAACTTAAGTAGCCTACTGTATTTAAGTTAAGAGTTACAGGGTTACGGTAAGTTACTGTAGCCTACTTATGATTTGAAAAGATTGTGATTATTAAAACTTAGTGGCTAACAGTCCTAGCAACCTTTTGGTTTGTAAAACTAAGTACAGCTAAGCTGTAATGAAATAGGTTATTTATGCTACATTTTATTTTTGTTTCAGTTTTCAAAGTATTCACCATTGAAGAGAATGAATTTGTTGAAGCTATAAACCTGAGGGTTGGAAAAAACCTTAACTTAAATTTTTCTTGCAATGATGTGGCTTGGAGTTCCCATGAAGGTAAGGTTGAATTGTATTATGTTAGTAATTAAGATATTGCTTACGTTTTTATGTGTTCTTGCAGGGTTCAGATTACGCAAATCGTCTCCAACTAGGCTTCATTCTGTGAAGTGTTATTTTAACTGAAAAACACCTGGAATATGAGTACCTACTTATATTATGTAGCCTACTTACTAAGTTATTAATTACTATCATGCTCCATCTGTAGGCCTACTAACATGATGAATGTTATGGTAAGGTAACTAGACAAAATTAAAGAGCTCAATATAGCGTAGCCTATTTGGACATATAACTTCTAATTGTCACTCTCTGTTGGAATAATCAAGGTAACAACTGATTAAGATATAAATTTATTAAACTTTGTAAGTATCATTTCAATTGGTGTCCATTTCCAGACCACATCCTGGCGACGGCAGCCACTAACGGAGCCGTGGTGGTGTGGAGTCTCATCAGAACGTCTCGGTGTAAGCAAGATCATGTGTTCCTGGACCACAAACGCACGGTCAACAAGGTCAGTTTCCACACAGTGGAGCCGTTCTATCTTATCTCTGGGTCTCAGGATGGAACCATGAAAACCTTCGACCTCCGCACCAAGGAAGCAACTAGGACGTTCTTTAGGTAGGGAAACATCTTAGTTACCTTGTAAATAAGGTTTTGGTTTTGAAATATTTCAAAAATATTTGTTTGTAAATTTTATCTTGTCATAATCTTGAGGCCTTGATTTATGAAGCAACTTTGTTGTTAAAATTGAATAGGCAATAGGCCTTTCATTATTTCAGTGATCTAGGCTAACTGGAGGTTTTTTAGCAAATAAATTAATGAGATCTCAATTATGTTGCACCTACCTACTTTCAGAGAAGTAATCAGCTGAAACTGTTGTTTAAAATACAGCTACCTAACATAATTGGCGATTCTTTTAAATTGATTTGATATAACGATCTCAATAATGAGAATCAAATTTGATAGGTAGGCAGTTTGCTACATGTATTACCAGAGCTGAAATTTATCTAGGCCTATCCGTAGTTTTTGAGAACGAATTAATACCGATACCGGTAATCTACATGTAAGTTATTATGGAATAAAAGTGTGTTTGTTTATTTTTAAGTCAGGATGGAAAGTTTGTTAACAGCAATAAACAATTAGGCATAGAACTAAATAGGCCTATCCTTTAATAAATTGTGTTTGATGATCCTTTAAATTTCTATGTTGCCTTGGCAAAATCATTTTCTAACTTAAAAAAATCCCAAAATGTTACTGTAAACCTCAAAATGTATAATATGTTGTTAGTTTAGCCTATAACCTCCCTTATTTTGTAACCCTAACAGCAACACAGAGAGTGTGAGGGACGTACAATTCTCACCTCACGCGCCTCACATGTTTGCCTCGGTGTCAGAGAATGGCACGGTGCAGCAGTGGGACCTGCGCCGGCCAGACAAGTGTCACCAGCAGTTCACGGCGCACAGTGGCCCGGTGTTTGCTTGTGACTGGCACCCAGAACATCCCTGGCTGGCAACGGCTTCTCGCGACAAGACCATCAAGGTAATTTCAAAAGTGCTTACTGTGTGTGCTTTGGGAAAATGGACTTTTTCTCCATTTCGGTTGTTAGAGTAATAATCCCTATGAATTGTTTGAAAATATCTTTAACTGTATTGCCTGATACATTCTATTTTATGATGTAACACCACTTAAAAAACTTACCTACATGATATAGCCTACTACTCTTACCAGGCTATCTAATGTTGACCTTTAGTTTACTTTTAAATTATTGCATCAGCCAAAACTATGATGCTGCTAAAACTTCACTTGAATAAAATATAGTATAAAAATAGCTTATTTCCCTAAATGGAAAATTTGCTAAAACTTATAAGGTACCCATACTCATCTGAGAGATTTAAATAAATGGTAGGTAAATAAAAAGGTTGTGATTTTGTTGCTAAAATTGGTTTTCCAAATAACAAGGTTTTTAATATTCTTGTTTAATGTACTAGGTGTGGGACATGACAAATAAGCCGACGTTGGAACACACAATCAATACAATCGCTTCAGTGGGCAGAGTCAAGTGGCGGCCGCAGCGCAAATACCACCTGGCCTCAGTGGCACTGGTAGTGGACAGTAGTGTCAACGTGTGGGACGTCCGAAGGCCTTACATACCCTTTGCTGCGTTCAATGAACATAATGACATTGCTACTGGCATTGCATGGCGTGGTGACCCCCACGTGCTGCTTACTACGGGCCGGGTAAGATAGACGAGAGATTATTATATTTAAGATGTAAAAGACATTGAGACATTTGGCATTAAATGTAATGTTTAATCAAAAGTTTTGAAGATTTGTAATAAAATAAGTTGTAGATAAAATAAAATATTAATTATCTTTTCTGTGAACTGTCTGTGAAAGCTTTTTACTGGATTGATCACTCAATCCTTCAGCTCAAGCTGGGTGATTATGGATCAGTGCAAGTTGTCTATCTCATTGCTGATTATAATACAGCTTCGATAAAAAATATAGATCTTTGAAAATGCTTTCTTCTCTTTAAAATGTAGTTGACGACATGGAAAGTTGATTCTTGAAGAAAAGATTAAAACTTACTCTTACTCTTACTTCCATGGCCATCGATACCCAAGGTGGTATTTGGCCTCGCCAACTAAATGCCTCCATTTCTTCCGATCTTCAGCATCTTCCTCCATGATTCTTATCTTCCTCATATCTTTGGACACTTCATCTTTCCACCTCATTTTGGGACGCCCAGGAGGTCTTCTTCCAACAGGGTTCTCTTTCCAAACTTTCTTTATCAATGCATCATCTTCTCTCCTAAACACATGCCCAAGCCATCTTATTCGTCGACTTTTTGCTTCCGCCACAGCATCTGGTGCTTTATAAAGGTCTCTAATTGCTCTGTTATGTTTGATTCTCCATTCACCATTTTCTCTTGTTGGTCCAAAAACCTTTCTTAGTACTTTATTTTCAAAGGTGACGAGTTTTTTTTTAGATTAAAACTTAGGTACTCTTAAATAAACAAAAGCAAATTTACTCTTGAGAAAAATATCTCCCACAGTCAAGCCAAAACCCTGAATAACCCTCTGTAGTAACGGAACATCATCATTGTCTTCCACAATTAAATTATTATCTTAAAAATTAAATTAAATTGTCTTGTTCTTTGAAAGAGATATTTAAAATGTTGTATCCGAACAATGTGGAAGCCTTCAGGTAAGATTTAAAAATTGAACTGTCATTTATATTTTAATACATTTCAGTAAGATCTAATACTGTTGTTTGACGTGACAGGACAGCACACTGTACCAACATGTGTTCAAAGACGCAGTCCGACCAGCAGAGAAGGCCAATCCAGCTGGGATATCCTTCAACAGCATAGGAGACCTGGCGGTCGCCTGCAAGTCCAGCGTGGTCAACAACAAGACTAACAAAGTGTCCAGTTTACTCAGGTCAGTCCACAGTGGCTTCGGATTTTCAAATATTTGTTACTATTCTGGGTGTCCTACAGACAGGGTTATTCTATGTGGATTTTGAAAACTGAGAAAATTTATAAAAAGGAGCGCCCAAATTATCCAATAGTACTACAAAATTGTAAGAATTGTAAAAATTAGTTGAGTACGATATTGGATAACCCGTGATGCCCATGATTGCAAGACGATTAAGACGTCTGGTTTAAAGAGTTTTGAAAATCTAAAATAAGTTTTATAATTGATTAAAAACTAAGTAAATAATAATGTTGTATTTGATACAATTTTGTATTGTATTTGAATTTTTTAAAATTAGTTTTGATATACCCCCTCAACTAAAACCCTGAGTGTCCGACTATAACACTTCTTAAATTTTAGATAACTTAGGCTCTTGAAACGCTTTATATACAGTACCCAAGCAGTTACTAACTAGCTAGTTTTATCTTTTCATTTAAAAATTTTAACCTGAAAATTTTTAATTTAATTTTAGTTTTCATGGCTTATTTATTAGTTAGAATTTGCAATTTGTCAGACGAGCACCAGTGACAAGTGAAGACTTCTGCCAGGCTAACAGTTGGCTGCATTGGTACAACAAACGTCACAACAATGAGGTCAAGTGGCTGCTGGGCTGTGCGCAGGGCTACCAACTGAGTGGCAAACCTCTAGCTGAGCTGTGTGACCACAACGCCAACGTCGCTCGTCAGTTTGGCCGTTTTAGTGTGAGTCATACCTGCGTCTTTTTAAGATTTACTGTCAAAGATATAGATTAGACCCAGGTGTCAATACACAACTTTGTGATGCTGTATTTTTTAAATGATAATTACAGTGATTGTGAATTTTTGAATTTCACTGGTGAAAGCTGATTTTAGTGCACTTTTAGCGAATTTCCCATATAGGGAATAAGCTATTACCGTAGAGGAATAGTAAGACGTAGACTCAGGACCAATCTACTTTAATGTTTTAAAGTCCAGAGAGGCCAAAAACGCCATCAGTTCAATATCTTAACTTATATGTGTCCGTTAGCACGATAACTCAAACACAAATCATTCGATCTTGATAAAATATTGTACAAACTTGTAAACCTACATTTATTCTAACAAATTAGTGAACCAACATGATCGGACTAAATGAGAACAGTAGTTTATGTAAAGTTTTATTGGGTTGAAATTGTTTTTCCCAATTGTTTACCTTAAAAACATATAACTTAATTTTGCAATTTCTTTCTACACTATTTTGTAGAGTTTGATAAAACAAATCATTAAATATATTCAATTAGTTTGGTAAATGGTTTTGTTGAGTTGTTTGATATTATAAATCATTAGTATCAAAATTTAAGCTTAACATACTTTTCAGGTGAGCCTAGTTTGGAGCATGATCAAGACACTGTACATGCCTCGTACAAGCGATTACCAACTGCAGACTCCCTTAAGAGAGGAGCAGAATGTGAGAGATAGTGGTGGAGGGGAGGAGGAGGGGCATGATAGTGGAGGGGGAACTACCAGTGTGGACGATGTCAATGAACCAGACAGGTCTGTGTAAGATAAGTTGTAACAATACAAATTATGAGTCTAAAAATGAATAAATTTGGAATTTTGACAATGAATATAGGCCTAATTAACATAATCAGTTTGTCCAAAGACCAGGAATACTGGGAGTTATGCGTGAATTTATGAAATTTGTTCTCAGGAAAACCTTACTTTAGTCCCTGGATGAATTTAGAAGGTAGGCTACATATGTTCACACAGCGACGGACTGTATTTGGTTGCGTAAATGCTGATGAAACTCCGTTAGAGCATGAAAAACGGACTGTGAAAATATCGTTAATATAGTCTGTGGCCACAGTAAAGTCGTGAACATCAACTGCAGTCTTGGCAAAATCATGAATACCTTCTGTTACTGCAAATCCTGATCATCTTTGGCATCACAGTGACATCGTAGTTGCGTTGCTCACTATCGCGGTAAGACTGTGAATATAGTCTGCAATTGTCATTTCATTTTTCATTCATACATCTTTGCAAACACTTTCTTTGATTACAGAATTAGAAATGAAAGATACTCAACTCAACTCAACACTGAACTTGGTCCATAATTTTTGGCCCAAACCGACCCTTGGGGCCAACTGTTGGTCTGACCATACCCAAAAATATCAGGGACCTGTAGACCCCTATAAAAAGGTACACTTGCCAACTGGAAATCACAACCCCAAAATCGTGGTTTTACTTCTGGGAATACCGAGAAAATGTGTGAATTCTTTTCCAGGATCTGATATCTCCTGGTTCTTTTATAACTTTGGTAAAACGTAAATGACTTAATTGGGGAGCAAGGTGGTCTAGTAGATTAAACTGGAGTTTACCGTCTTTCATGCAACGATTGTGAAAAGTACTATATCGGTCAGACTTCTCGCTCCTTTAAAAAGAGATTCAAGGAACATTTGCCCAAGAAAACCATAACCCAGACATCTGCTTTTGCTGACCACCTCGTTTCAAATAACCATAATTATTCAGATATACACAGAAATATGCATATTTTACACTCTTCAAAAGACAGATCTCAGACAAGCATATTAGAAGAATTTGAAATATATAAAGCTGTAAAATCGGATCATCAGAACGTCCTGAACGACAAGCTGTCATTTTCATCTAATTATATTTATGACACTGCAATCAAGGTATTGAAGGGTGTGGATGGAGGGGGTGGTTAGACCTCAATGAAACAGCTGATAAGGATTGGACGACTAGATTCCACTGACCACCGGCAGTCTAGACTATACCTTCGCCGGGGATGAGTCGTAGCAATAATTTCGGCCGTGTCTTCAATGTTAAATGTCCGTGTTTTGTGTTTGTGACTATAATGTGTGCATGTTTTTTACGCCTTTTGACGACCTTTGCAAGAAGAGAAAAAAATGTTTTGACATCCTGATCGGCCTGATGAAGATCCCTATTGTGGATTGAAACTGGTTGCCGTGAGCAACATTTTGGATAACTTTTATGCCTAGGTATTTAAACCACTTTATTGAAATAGTGTAAAATTATAAGATCCCTTAAATAGTTTTTTTTCGTATTAGCTTCTTGATTTGATATAAACTTCTTGAGATTTTTTGAGTTTAAATTTTGTTTTAACTATACCTAGTATAACTGACGGTAGTTTGTTGTTTTATTTTAGCGAAGATATAAAGGACAAGAAGACTCGCAAGTTGCGGCTTGAAGACTTAAAACCCAATTCCCATTCTTTGGGCGATTTCTTCTTCGGTGATGGGGAAATGGACCCTTTGAGCATGGACTTTGAGCGAGGAAACAACATCGGACTGACTGTGGACTCTGTTGTGACGGATTGGACGTTGCCTATCGAGGCATTTCCCCTCCGTCATGAGATAAAGGATCGGTCGCCTCCGCCAGAACAGTTCCCCAACAGTGAGTCACCGGAGCCTGTGGAAGGTATGGACGTTGATATACATAACTTTAAAATGGACGTATGGTTTATCTGTTTATCAAAATGTTTATTACTTCGTAGTGTAAAGGGAGGATAATGGAAAATGTTGGGAAAACTCTATTAGGCCTAATGATTCTATTTTTCAGTGTAAAGCCAAGTGTAAGGCTAGGAGTTATTTTGAAGAGGTTAAATAAGCGTACCTGGAAAATTACTAGTGGCTAATAGTTTTTCACTTCAATCTACTCTTAGAAGACGTCCTATAATAGGACAAAAGATCAGTGTAGTTTTCTGTGTTCTGTGATATTTTATTCTTGTATCCATCCCTGGGCTCTAATTACTTTAATGACTTTATGATTAAATAGCAGTTAATTGGTTTTCACAATTCAGTACCACTGCAAATTTATACTTTAATTTCCCATTGCATTTTCTCAGATCATTCGGTTACTTCCTAACATTTACCCCTCCAGTTCCATAAATTTTCAATATCTGTACAAATAATCTATTGGCACAAAGTTTAGCGTGGTAATGGTACACAGTGTAAGGTATAGTAAGACTACTTTAACCTTTCTGGTGAAGGGATTTACTATTTTCCTTGTTTAAAATAGTAATAGTGCACATACAGTCTTAATGATTGGTATTTAGAGGAGTGTTTAGATCAATTTTGTGTAAAGTCTTGTTCATTTCCTCCTTTGATTTGTGTAGTATTAACTATCCCTCAGAGTTAATACAGCTTGGAAAAAATTTTGTGTAGGCCTAAACTTTAAAATTCATCCATCAACTACTTTTTAAATAACTTTTTGCATGAATACACTTTTTGTATCTATTTTTGTTTTTAAATTTTATTTTTGGTGTAGGTTTTTAACTTAGTGTTATCTATTGTTTCTGTAGTTTTCCTAACTGTTGTTGCTTGCTTTTGCACTCTTGATATGAGGCTTGTGAAATGATTTCAAATCAAGAATATGTTTTTTTCTCAATAGAACCCTTATAACTGTAAATGTTGTCCAAATTATTTATTTTGTCATTTTAAACAATAACAAATGTAATTATTATAATTAAATTATCAGGCCCATATATTTCTGACAAGGAAATCAATTCATGATTGCCAGAATGTCAAAAATGCTCACATTTCAAATACACGGTTAAATAACATTTTAAAATTTGTATGGGTTTTACAATTTTTTAAAGTAAGTAGAGTTCAATTAAAATACTATAACCATTTCAGACCTCAAGTAAGTCATTGTTTTTTTAGTAAATAATTCATACTCTATTCTTTAAATGGCAATTAATAAATTTAATTGAGAATGAGAATGAATGATATTTTTATTTGCCAGTTAATATTCCATACAAATACATTGGCACGTCAAATTAGTCATAAAATTATAGTATTATTATAGTAATTAAATTTTGCTCTCATTTTGTTATCGTTTGATGTTATCAGTGAATCAGGTATTCAGCCACAATTTTGACATTTATAAAAGATACTTTTGCAAAACCTGTAAAATAACTACTAAACTTAATTTGCTACTCAACTTCAATTTGCAACTTCAAACTTGCTTCAACTAATTCATGTCAATTTGTATTTGTATACTCAAGTTCCCTAACTTTGGTAACTTTGGATTTTTAATCTATAGACAACTTTTTTATCAGATCTATGTCAGCATTTTTGACATATATACAAGGACTGCCCAGAAAGTAACAGATGTTTTGCAATTGCGCCGCTAGAGGCAGTGCTATTGCTGCCATCTTTGCTTTAGAGCGTTCCCACATTCAGTATAGATCTAGCCATTGGAGCATGCGCATAATCTGTAGTAAACTGTAGTATAAGATTACTACATAATCTGTAGTATAAGCACAGAAAACATACTACTATAACCCAGAATGCCAACCGCATGGTAAAAAGCATTAAGTGTTTTGAGAGAGCCTTGCCTGTCAATCGCAGGCAGCGCCACCAGCGTTGCCATGCACTCAGCATAGCAACGCTGGTGACGCTGCCTACCAATTGACAGGCAAAGCTCTCTCAAAACACTTAATGCTTTTTACCACGCGGTTGGCATTCTGGGTTATAGTAGTATGTTTTCTGTGGTATAAGAGATATCTTATACTTTGTGTTTGCAGTGGAATTTTAAAATTAACAATGTCATTGCAAATCCTGCCAGTTGTGAAGTATGCTCTGTGATAAGTTTTTGTTGGTGAAAAATTTAAAGCAAATTGAAATAAATTGCCAGATATGTGATGTTTATGGCAAAGGAGTGATAGTAGACAATAGAGCATTCCTAGTAATTAAAAGATATCTGATTTCTGGATAAGGTTTGGAGAGAAAGGGCTTATTGCCTAGGAATAGGTGTGAGAAAGGATAGGATAAGAAGGCTTACCTTAAGAAATGTAGGCATCCCACTTCATTCTCTACAGAACACTGAAGAAAACACAAAACAAAATAAACACTGGATATTTCGAGGCCACTTATTCATTTGTAAATTCATAGTGTGCTGGCAACACTGCTTCGTGCTTCCTTACCAGTGAAAAACCCCAAATATCTAATGTGACTCTCCATGTTGAGAAAGGGGCCAGTGGCCTCGAAATATCCAGTGTTTATTTTGTTTTGTGATTTCTTCTTTGTTCTGTAGTGAATGAAGTGGGATGCCTACATTTCTTCAGGAAAGCCTGCTTATCCTATCCTTTCTCATACCTGACTTCTGGATAAATGTTCCCGATCAGTACCACAGCGTTAGGCCTAGTCTAGAGGCTGTTGTACTGGTCGGGTAAGTCAACGACTGAGTGTAGGAACCCTCTGATACTACGATGGAGGCAAAAACACCACCCAAGCGGCACTAATGTGAAGCGTCTGTTACTCTCTGGTCGGCCCTCGTACAGCAGCCAATTGCACTTGTTATGTAATCTTTAGCACACATTTTCACTTTTCAGGAAGTCTGTGGAAAAACTGCTTAATAAGACGATCTTCTCTATCAGGTACTTTTGTATGTTTTCTTTTTCTTTTGTAAGTGGAAAGCTTCTCTTAACTAATTTTCTTGTTTTCTTCATCTATTTGACAATAGATAAGTTTTGTATATATGTACATAATTTGTTGATATCAATAATGTTTGTCCAATTGAATGGTGTAATTAATTGAACGAGCATTTGACATAAAACCACATTAGGACAGGACGACGTCTGTCAGGCCAGCTAGTAGTAAATATGGGGTAGCGGATTTTTATCCCCCTGGAATTTTACCCCCTGGGCAAACGTGACGTCACAAATCAGGGGGTAAAATTCCGGCCGCGAACTTTTGAGTTTCGCGACATCAGCTCGATGGATTAAACGCGGAATTAAACATATATTTTCACGGTTGTGAGTTTAATCAGAACACATCAAATTATAAAAACCTAGAATGTACGGCCCGGATTTTTACCCCCGGAATTTTACCCCCGGAATTTTACCCCCGGAATTTTACTCCCCGGAATTTTACCCCCCGGAATTTTACCCCCTGGCCAGATATAAATTAGTGAGAATGATTAATTATCGTCATTCAGTTTTAATTTAATGGTAAACATTTTATTATTAAGTAGCCTATCTTAATTTATATGTAACATTAACTAATCGAACAGGGTTTTAATATTAATTTTGAGATTCGAGTGTCAGGATTCGATCTTTGAAGCCAACTGTTGGTTAATATGATCAAAATAAAACAGCGAATTCTGTTTACTTAGTTGAGATTACAAAATAAATAAATAAAGATAGGCTACTAAATAATGAAATGTTTACAATTAATTAAAAACGGAAATAAGAAAATCAATCATTCAATTTCTAAAATCAGCCAGGGGATAAAATTCCGGGGGTAAAATTCCGAGGGGGAAAATTCCGGGGGTAAAAATCCGGCCCATCTTCAGTTGCCTAAACGCTAATTATATGGACAGGGGGTAAAATTCCGGTTTTTATCGCTAATCTAATTAATCACGCTCTGACTATTTTCATTAGACTTCCAAATCCGCGGGGGTAAAATTCCGGCTGCGAACAAACTTTTGGCCACTCAGGTTACTACGTCATAGTGACGTCAGCTTTGCCCAGGGGGTAAAATTCCAGGGGGATAAAATTCCGGCGACCCGTAAATATTTCATTTCAACCAATCCAGTAAATATTTGTAGAAAACTGTCAAATTAACAAACTTATTGACTGTTTACGATTAACATATGTTCTTATTCTCACTTTAATTTCTGACAACAGCTGGAGTTTCATAACTATGTTTGTTTCCCATGTTAATCTTATAGAGAAATACGAAACTTTAAAGGGCCCCAGGGCCTCACTCTCTAATTATTTCCCAAAAAAGAAAGTTGCACAACTTCACGATACACTCTTTCCAATGACACCAAAAACATGTCAATCGGTACAGTAGTTTCGGAGGAGTAATTGTCACAAAAAACCTGCTTGCGTATTAAATAAGTATAGATAGATTGTAGTGTGATTCAGTTGTATATTTCTTAATCAGCTGATAACTGAAATAAGATTATTTAACATTTTACCTAACCCGCCATGTTAAACTTCCCTATCCCAAGCGTGATGTATACAACTTCCTTACTTCTCGAGTGATGTAAAGTTGAAAAAAACTCACTCGGTGATGTAATGAAACCCATTTAAATAACATTGAGTGGATAACTTAAAAAATATACCTCTATGGAGCCAACGACGTTCAACGCTAGAAATCAGCTGTGTTTGAATTTTATTGTTATGCTTTGAAGAATTTTCCTAACCTAGCTTTTGATTGTAAATGAACGTTACTGTTAGAAGATGAGTGAAATTGATAATGAAGCATATTGCTCGTGACCTCCTGAATATTGTCGGGTCAGGTAAAATCTTGTACGTTACACGTTACGCAAGAGCGTGTTTACATCACTTCGGTGAATTATGCAACTCGCCTTCGCTCGTTGCACAACATTCACCTGCGTGATGTAAAAACGCTCTTACTACACTTGTAATGTAAATAGCTATTAATTTGCTGCATTACATTACAGTCAACTCTCTTGTCCAGTTTACTCAACCAATCTGTAATGTATTTTCATTTTTACATTAAGGGCAAAGTCTGAATTCCATAAAGTAATTCAACAATAATAAGTCAATGTCCTTGCATGGCAGTAAAACCTTGTGAATACCTTGATGACTGTGCAAGAAGCAATATCATTAGGTATTGGCTTGTAGAGTTAATAAATAATAGGCAAAAGTAAAATTCTTATTGCACTTCTTAAGAATGACTAGATGTGGTTTAGATCGGTACTTATTTGTGTTCAAGCTTTGTAATCACAGTACGGATGTTTCTGAAAATCGTTTTAATGTTTTATTTTGTTCTTATTATTGGCTTTATTAGATTTCTAAGAACTGTCATAATTCACTTGCCACAGACATTATAAATAACTTATGTCTAAAACGAGTGAACCATAGTGCATTGTCAATGGAATAGTCATATTCAGTGTTCCAAGTATTGTGATTTTGACAAAGTCGTCATCATCATAGAAAAAGAATGTACAGTAAAACTAATTAATTTTATGTTAAACTTAAGAAAACAGCATTGACAATGTCTATTTTAATACTTGTATTACTTAATATTAATAATCAAAAATACAGATCTTAAATCTTGAATAAAAGTTTTATCTATAATAAACTCCAAAATTCCAAATGGTAATTTAATTTTGAGGCTGCCAGCTATTACAAATCAACTAGAGAACCCGTGCGGCTCAATGAGATGAAACATAACGTCGAGGAAAACGTTATGCTTAAATTCGAGTAATTCTAGTTACATCTTAGAATTTTTTAAACACCTTAGAAACTAATTTTAAACATCTCTATTTGCGTCGTCAAGGCTCACCAACATTATTTCTGCTCTAAGTTTTAACTGATAACTTCTAATGAATAGTAAACGATACGTTTCAATTGGTGTTAACATGTTGCAACAACGTTTTTCCAGCATTGAGAATTGAAGAAAACTGTTGCCTTCCTGATAACCTGTGTTTAGTAATTTAAGTTGGGTCATTTTATTTCTTTGATTTGAGACATCTCCCTAATCAAACAAATTTTCTCCGTAGAGAATCCTGAAATTATGTGCTCCATTTTTACCCACAAACTCTGGGTTAAAAATTGGACAGCCATAATCTGCTTTGAATATGCTAAAGCAGCAACACCATTGAAAGTTGGTTCACGTACTTTAACGTGTTATCTGTCAGTATCCCCGCAAGTATATGCCCCGCATCAGAACGTCCTCACGTTGTTCAGTGGAGTTTCTCTTAGTACATGTCCCAAAGTTTTGAAAGAAATGATTTGTTGAAATAGGTTTGATAACTCTAGTAGCTGTAAGATTTTGACAGAAATTTGTATTTTCTCTTTTTGAACAGCGTATATTATTTGCCTTTCATTTGATCTGACATTAGGCAAGTTTACTTTACCACCGTGACAACACTATGTGCTACGTATATTTTTTCACTTCCAAAGTAAGTTGACTGCAGAACTGGCAAATATCATTCATCTCACCAAGTGAATGTGTATCTGGATGGGTATCTGTTAGACCAGACCTCTCTTTTACTACTCTCCTCGTACGCATAAGATATCTCATTATTAATTATTGTCTCCTCCTCCCGTATTTCTTCTTTGAGCTTGAGGCATTTTCTGTTCTCAAGTTTAACTCAACTGTTTAACTTGGTCTTAACCTACCTACTGAATATCACAAACATAATATTTACTCCCAAAAAGCTAATGAGTTTCTTTTTATCAACAGCTGTTTTTTGTTTTATAATTTGTTCTATGTATTTCTTATAGGGAAAACCCGACCTTTGAGAAGGTCTCACGCCCTTAAGAGTGGGAATTTCAAAATTCTAAAACCTTATTGCAAAACTACATATTGAGACGAATCTTTTGACACCTTAAACGTTAAAATTGGTCTACAAATAAGGGAGGAGTTGCGTTAACAAAAAAACGGCTTCACGTATTATATATATAGATATACAGTGTGTAAATTAAGTATGGAAACAAATCTGTATTTTTAAAACCGAAATAGATAGAAATATTCTATTTGTGGCAATAATAGTTAACAAAGATTCCGCAATTTTTCACATGAAAAATATTTTTTTACCCCCCTAACAGGGTAGGTGGTAGGGGGTGACTTATTTTTTTCAAATAGCAACCCCTATTGAGTGACCCCTCATTTTGAAGGGCTTGTCAAAAGAAACACAATGACGCAAATCCGAGGTGAATATCTCACTCCTAGCTAACATGGCGGATATTCCAAAATGGGCTTTTTTTTTACAAAAATTAAATTTTTCATTACCCACCATTTAGGCTAGGGGTGAAATATCTACCTCGGGTTTGCGTCATTCTTTTTCTTTTAACAAACCCTTCAAAATGAGGGGTCACTCAATAGGGGTTGTTGTTGAAAAAAATAAGTCACTCCCACCCCCTACCCTGTTAAAGGGGTTGAAAAAATATTGTTGATTAAAAAAATTGCGGAACCTATGTCAACAATCAATTCCACAAACAGAATATTTCTATCTATTTCGGTTTTAAAAATACAGATTTCTTTCCATTATTTGTGAAATTGGTGCTTTTCACGTACAATAAAACAAATTTTGAAATATCCGCCATTTGGGCTAGGAGTGAGATATTCACCTCGGATTTGCGTCATTGTGTTTCTTTTGACAAACTCTTCAAAATGAGGGGTCACTCAATAGGGGTTGCTATTTGAAAAAAATAAGTCACCCCCTACCACCTACCCTGTTAGGGGGGTAAAAAAATATTTTTCATGTGCAAAATTGCGGAATCTTTGTTAACTATTATTGCCACAAATAGAATATTTCTATCTATTTCGGTTTTAAAAATACAGATTTGTTTCCATACTTAATTTACACACTGTATGCTCAACAATTATCATATCATTTTATCTTTCGGTATAGGCAATATTTTACAGCTCTCCCAATAAAAAACGCAGATAACAAAACTCTAAACCAAACAGCAATCTTCAAAGGTATAACATCTATATAAATAAAATTAGAGTTTTGTCTGTACATTGCTTAGAATAATGAACTTTTTGGTTATTTTTACATTTCATAGGTCAGAGAAACCGAATCAAACCTTATCTCAATTTCTGTCTGTCTGTCTGTCTGTCTGTCTGTCTGTCTATCTGTCATTCTCTTGGTAACGCTAAAATACGCACTTTATTACAACTACTCCTCAATAACTATAGCACTGTCCCGCCTGAAACTTATTTTCCAAATACTATACATATATGAGATGGTTTTAGACGTATTTCATCGAATATGAGACAGTTAGATATTTAACAGTAAACCCTTGAAAATCAAGTTTTTGTCGATTTTTGACGTGGAATTTCTGGAAGAATGTTGCTTTGTTTACAACTAATCATATGCACATGGTTTTAATTGAAATACAATCTTAATTTTGACATTGGCATACAGCTGTGATTAGAAAACGTTAGCCTATTTGAACTCAAGGTTAACCATAGCCTTATCGATTCACACAACTTAAAAACCATACGAAATGTATACTATATTATATAACTGAACACCAGTTCTGCTAATTATAACAAGTAACCTTATTCTTGAATAAACCCGTACGAAGAACGGGTACTCACAGCTAGTATTTATTAAACATAAATATATGATTGAAACCCCCAACCTTATCTTATTGTGAAGCCATACCGTTTACAAAAATAACTGTTTTATTCAATAACGTTCTTTAGCAATAAAACTTCATACAATTTAACAAACTTTGTTATTCAATGTTATTCTTTTAATACCCCCGCCGCAGCAAACCTGCCGACTAAGCGAATTTCCATTTGTCTGAATTGACTTTCAGTTAAATATATTTTAATAACATTAGGTTTAACGAGTACCTAGGTTTGCTGCTACAAGGAAACTAATAAAGTGTGTTTTTGAGTAAAATATTGATAGCTTAGTACAAAATAAATAAATTTGCCAAGTTTGATCAAAATATATCCATAAACAAGCAAACTACAACATTTGACAATATTCTCCATAAGAATAACATGGGAATTTTCAATTAAAATTTTTGTAATTTTCTCTGTTACTAATAATCGAACAAAAATACTTTTATAGACTAAATTATATGTTTTTTTAAGTTCTTTAAAAAGGTCTAAAGAGAAATCGGGAAATTTTGTGTTTTGAGGGTCAAAAGTGAGAAAAACCAATTTTTACCCCATAAAACCCCCCGTAAAGCCCCGTTCCCATGGTCCGATCGTGCTGGTTCGCAAACTCATTCAAGTTTATCTCGCTTTACACCTTTAAACCAAATTTCATCAAAATCGGACAAAAATTACTCAATTTATCGCGTTCACGGACGTATATATATATATACATATATAAAAATTTGAACGAATGGTGTTTTTGGCCTCTGGGGACATCAAAATGAAAAAGTAAATCGGTCCCGGGTCTAGGTCTTACCGTGCCACCTACGGTAATAGCTACTTCCCTATAGGGAAATTCGCTAAAAATCAAGACATCAAACCCATTTGTGTGTTCATCATAGCAGACCAATGTACTCATAGAACAAAATAGGTCTTAGCTATCTTATGCCTGGATCTAAGTGTACATTTTATTTTTTATGTACCTAATTGGATACAAATCCATCAAAACAACTGGAAATTAATTTACATGCAGGTTTGCTACTACAGGGGTATTTAATCTATTGGGGTTAAGCAAGTGACCTTATAGGTTACTTTCATTTGGTGAGTCAGTGGCTCAGTCGGTAGCGTTGTGGGTTTGGATCCTGGTACCTGTCATATTTCTTATAAGTTCAGTTCACCCTTTTACTGTACCAGATCACCCCTTGCTTTGCTGGATATGTTCCACACACAGGTTCATAGCCTATGTGAGCGGCTAAATGCAAGGTTAAAATTAGGGATGGTCAAGTCTCGAAATTTCGGGAAATTTTCGGGAAATTTTCAATCTCGTTACACGAGACGAGATTACTTTTTGGCCGAGATTTTTATCGAGACGAGAATAAAAAAAAAAAAAAAAAAAAAAAAAAAAAAAAATTAAAAACGCCTGCAGAAAGTCAATGCAATACCCGCAATACAGGAGCGTGTTGTAGTTGCGTTTCCTTTTCGAAGGCGTTCTTATTTAATTAATTCTTTTAATGTAAATATTACTTTAATTCTTTTAATGTAAATATTACTTTAATTCTTTTAATGTAAATATTACTTTCATTATTTTAATAATATTACTTTAATAACATTTGAGAAGTTTTGTTAAGTGTAAGCAGTGTGAGGAATGTTTTATTACTATAAAAAAGTCAAAACAAGTAACTATTTTATAAAAATTAATATTGCTTTTATTTTATGATTTATTTTATTTTAGGATAAGTTGAACTCTATCCTAACTGATATCACCATGTTTCCTAATCGTAGGCATTTTTAATAAGTTAGGCGTGATTAATAAAAAAATGTTATGCTGATGTTATTTAATGAAAGATTGTAAATATTCTTGCCTATTATCATTATTTTATTATTTAAACAGTCATCTAACAATGTTACAAAATCAGGTAAAAATTTCGAACGTGCATTTCCCGTTGTGTATGAGAAGAGAAATCTCGTCTCGATCTCGTCTCGAAATTTTATGAGAAATAAAAAATCTCGTCTCGTCTCGTCTCGAACTAAAAATCCAATCTCGTCCATCCCTAGTTAAAATCAAACCGGTCGGCAACCTTATAAAAAAATTTGTTAAGATCATCCAGCTTCAATGAATAACTATGTAGTAAACTATCGTTCAATAATGTATTGTATATTTTATAATCTTTACCAATATTTTATGCTGCTAATAACATCAGTTTTTTCACACCTCTAGTGTGATGTTTTGCACATCTCCATGTGCTTTCTACACTTTTGCAATCTGAATAATGGAAATGAGCTTCAATTGTATTTATTGGCCAGCTTTAACAAACACGATCTTTGTTTAAATATGTGTTTTAAGTTTTAAGAGTTAGATAAAAACGCAAGTACAGTATGTATAAATGGTATTGTGATTTACTTCCACTTGACTCTTTACCAATCAATCAATTCCTTGGTAGCAACAGACTTTTAGCTGGATATGAATGCAAGGTGAGAGAAGACTGGAGTGGGCCGACCTGTGTAGCTTTTTTACTGACTCGTATTGTGTACAAGCTTTGTCCAGATCTTTGTAAAAGCCCAATGATGAAATACAGCTATGTCCAGTTTGAGCCATAAGGCGATTTACTTCACTCAGGATCAAACTGGGGACCTATTAGGCCAGTACCATAACCACCCAGCTACCCATTTCCATCGGATAAAAGTTTGTCCCAGACTAATCCTGATTTGGTTGATGTTTGGTCCAATAAAAAATCTACTTTTGTTCCAAACAAACTTATTCTTTAAATTGGTATAATATAAAAGTATAGTGAGAAATATATCACACCCTGTTTTATATGACGAGTAATATCATGGACTTTTGGATTATTTAAATTAACGTGGACAAATTTACCATTTATAACCATTTTTAAAATACTTAATAAGAATATGAATATAGTTCAATGAGCCACTAACAGGTTGTGCTGCAGTCTAAAAATCTACTTTCACCCTCGTTTTTTTGTTACTGTGAAGCTTATGTGATTTGACCGATGCGATGCTATTGTTTGGCATTTGAAAGAAATCAGTAATTTACATCTGCTGTGAGAGGCTCAATTCAACTGCATTAACTTTTATTCAACAACTGTTTACAATTGGAACACAAGATTGGAATGTCTAGTTCTATCCGTAGTCTTAAGATACATTACACAAATCAAGATAAACAATCAAACAATCGTAGGACTGCATACAAGATTCAACACTTAGAATTTCTGATATCTATATTCTCAGACACCACGATTCTGAGTGGTGAAGAACCTTCGACGGCCCTGCTGACTGTCAACTGCCTGGTGCGACCAGTAGCGTGGGAGCCTGGTACTGTGGTGGGGGAAGCCTTGACACATCATGCGGCACGCGGCGACGTCCAGACATCTGTATCGGTAAAGATTATTGCCATTGAGCAAGTTCATGCTTTGTACTATCCGTAAAGTAGGAAAAGGAAACTTCCAAACTTCCTCGTCAATTTGACGTCAAATTGAAATATTGTGAAAATATCTAGAATCAAATTAAACAGCTGACTGTTATGAACATTCATTGTACAGAGTAGTAAACTAGTTAGATAGGCATGATTTCATGCTTGAATTATTGAAGTTTAGCTCATTCCCTTTTTACTGTGCTAGGAAATGTTTTACTATGTTAAATCTGCAGCTTTTGAAATGTGTTACACTAATCAGTAGTTTGCAGTATCTACTTTTCCTGGAGTGTTAAATATTGTTAAGAAAGCATGAAAATGTTGGTGATTGCACAATAGATTATTACGATGTTACTCGAAACGCAAGTGACAAATCCTAAGTCACAAAGTATCAAGAATTGACTATTTCCATGATACCACTGGTATCAAAGGATTTGAGAAATTGTGTATCAAAATCCGTTCAGCCCATATTTAATCTTTACATTATTAAACCCTGGCAACAAACAATATCTTGGCTATTCTATTCCCACACTGTGATCGGCAGGTCCTGTTGGTGCTGGGAGAGAGACGGAAGACTCTAGAACACTGTCTAGATGAGACGACACAGGAACACTGGTTGTTGGCTTATATAGACCTGCTGTCACGCTACAAGCTGTGGAACATCTGTACACAGGTCTGTGTTAAATAGTTTCAACTGTCCTATTGTTGGTAGTTTATCTGACCTATGACAATTTTGTTTGTTAACTTAAATTTTAAATTTGAAAAAAAGCTATTCATGATCTTATTCCTTCATTCATCACATTTCATTTTAGTCCATACACTCAACAAAGTTCCCAAAAAAATACATGGTTAAGAATTTGGATATGTTTTTCTGTTGATAAGTATGTAATACATCCAAGTAACATTCAAGCTTTGTGGGATTATATATTGTGTCACAATTTAACACACTCTCACACGAAATATTTTTTTATTTGTCTATTAATTAATTTTGTAGGTTATGTCATTAATGTCTTATATCATATAGACTACATATATATAAAAAAATATCTATGTATATTTAACCAAAATAAAAGAAAAACATCTTTGTCCTCTTTCTCTATACTAATGTAACAAGAAACATATCAAGTGTTACTTCTCCCTATTAAACTCACTTTTTTTAGGTGAGTTTATCTTTATTTTTATTTTCAAACTGTAATTAATAAGTTTATTCTGCAAAATGTTAAACTCATTTTTAATTTTCAACCTCAATTTGCAATGTTTGTTGAGTGAATATTAAGAGTTTATGAGCATTATGTGCTAATAATAATGGCTGGTTGTTTATTATTTACCAATATCCGTTATTTTAATATGTTTCTACAACTTGTATTGGGCTTTTCTTATAAGTAGCCTATAATAGACGCCAGGAATTCTGTACTTTCGAGCCGGGAAAAATATGTGAATTTCGTTTTTAGATTCTGCTGACAACCTTGTGACTGAGGTGAGCACCACTATAAGCACATGTCGCTACTAGCGCTTGCAGGTTGGATTTTACCAACTACTTAGCGTCAGTAGGTTAGCAGTAAGGCTACCTCGCCGACAAGCTACAGTCACAATCAATGGTTTAAAACCCTGCAAAATAGAAATAAGCAATCAATCAACCTTCACTCTACTCCTGCTGTGTGCACACTAACATATTTTTTACATCTGTGCAAAATGAATGCATTACTCTACAGTAGTGGACTTCCTGTACTGTGCCAGTGTCTGAACATTTGTTTCTTTCCAGCTCTCATAGACATGACAATGTATCACTTATTCGTCATTAATGCTATGTCATTCCCAAAGAGTTGTTGGACCTCCAGATAACTGTATAGGACCCTAGATAACTCAACATGGTTTTTTTCTATCACGTGTTACTAGGTCAAAGTTTACACAAAATCTGCTTCAAATAACCATAAAATCACTAGAATGTGCAGTTAACTAATATAATGTCTACTTGACAGGTTATCCAGCTGTCTTGGGTGCCGTCAGTAAGTCAGCTCAACCAGCAGTCCACTACGGTTTACACAGCATGCACACAATGTCACAAACCTCTGTTGAGGAGTGGCTGGTTGTGTGACCGTTGTCACTCGGCCACTTGTGGTGTATGCAGTGTTTGTAATCAGGTAAGTCAAGACAGACAGTGTGACCCGTTAAGGTAAGGTATCTAACAAGCTAGTTCAAATATGATAACAGCGCCACGTTCTTGAATTCATCCACCACTATACTAGTTGTTCCCCGCCCCTATTAGAGAATTAATGTAGGTTTAGTAGCAAAAAATGATGTCAAAGAAAATTGATGCTCCTGACAAGTATGAACAGTTGGCCCAAGAGATTGCTTCGGGTAAAAAAAAATTTGAGCCAAGCTTGGGTGGGTTAAAGCCAAGCCGAGCTTTCATTTTTGTATTCCAGAAAGCATTTGCAATTATAAGTGATTGAAAATTGAATATTTTACCTTCATTGCGGTTGTTGTTCATAGTATGGCCACAATTGTGAAAGACTATGATGATATTGCCTTGACTGCAAAAGATGTTAACAATTTTGCCTTGGGCGCAGATGAGGTTTCTGATCTAGCCGTGATCGTAGAAGATTTACATGTACATAATTTACACTGTAAGTGTGGAAGATGTTCACAATTTTACTGTGACAGCATATGATGTTTGTGATTTTGCCGTGACTGCAAAAGATGTTCACATGTTTGCCATGACTGAGGAAGATTGTCACAATCTCGCTGTGACCACAGAAAACCCCTAAATATTTCACATTTCTTGAATAGTTTATCGGTCAGGGAAATACAGGGGAAAAAATGTCTCCTGCCTTAGTGTAATCATCATTATCATCTGCTGTGGCCAAATATTTGACATTTCTCGCGGTCGCAGGGACATAATCATTGTCTCCTGCAATCATGGAAGCGTTATCGCTGTCAGTAATGATCTCGACAAAATCCTGAATACCTCCTGCAAAAACATCATCATCGTCTCCCCAATAACAAACAAAATCTTGGACATCTTCCACAGTTGCGTAGACATCATCATCGTCTTCCGTAATTAAGTCTAATCTACATTCCACATTGTGTTTGTCCACAGGTTGTACGTGGTCTGTACGTGTGGTGTCAGGGTTGTGAGCATGGTGGTCATGTCTCACATCTACAGCAATGGTTCTCTGACAACCGTGTATGTCCTACTGGCTGTGGTCATGTCTGTGAGTTCTCGTAGTCTTATCTACATTCTACCACCTTGTCTTACTGTATACGACTATATCTGATTCCTTTTAAACCAAAGTTTCTTTTAATTTATTTTATTTATTTCTGTTGTTGATGACAATATCACAGGCCACACAATCAGTTAAGACAAAAATGGGTTTTTAAAGTTAAATCTTGGGAGTATTCAGTTTTGATTTTGTAATAAATCAATTAAATTGATAATCTTAAAACCAAGTAATATGTTGAGAGATTGAAGACAAGTATGTTTTGTTCCCAGCAATTAAAAATACCCATGGAACTGGGACTATGTCAGAATATATGGATAACAGTTTCTTCATAAATTACTAGTTTGGAATTTTAAACTAATTTTTGAAAGAAATAACACTGTACACATATGAATACTGTACATATAGTTTATTTTATTTACAGTAGGCTTATAAAAATTTTAACATACTGTATTTTGTTTAAAAAAAACTGTGATGCAGCAAAAATCGAAAGTAAAAATAGTGAAATACACATTTTTTAATTGATGAATAAAAGAGCTTGATTGTTAATCAAAGTTCACTGTCCAAAGCTGAAGTCAAATTGAAGTAAAAATATAAAGAACTTAGGGTCTGTAGAATAAAAGAATTGAAATAATATCCCACAAAAGTTGCCAATACTTTTAGTACTACAACATATCTGTGGATGGTCAAGTGTTTCTTTCTGTGTTACTCTCTGTAGGTACAATAGTTGAGTTTGAGCATTGCCTTCATTTGTCAACCAATAAAAAAAGGTATTTTTCGCTACACTACTGTGAAATCACTTGTTTTCGTCATATGATTATCACATCATTACGCTGTTTACCATGTGAAAATAATGTTAACTAATTACTGCTATGAGTTTTGTAATCTACACAACTGTAATCATCGTAGTTTTCATTACTAGTTTCGAAAGTGACTTATTACGGGGAGAGATTGCATTTACATGGAAAAAGTTATCGAGCCCCGAAATTGCACTTTTAAGACGAGTATTGAAAATTTTTTTTCATTACGATATTGAATAACATTGTAAACAACATGAATATTTTTGTTAATTCAAAAAAACCGAACTCTAACGCTGAGTTTCCGTGCTTATGTCAAGGTACATACGGACGGAAACTCAGCGTTATGAGTTATTACCAAAATGCAATAGCAAATAATGCAACAGCTGATCAGTCTGCACAGCAAAATCCCATAACGGTTACTTTCCGTGCACCACAAATGCTTAACATTATATAATTTTTCCGTGCAGTAGCGGAAATAACCTATTTTCTTTGTTCATTTATGTTTAGAAAATGTACTTTCGTGTGTAGGGTAATTGAAAAATATTCAATGTTTGTTTTAGATCAGAAAAAATTATCTTCGTAGTGTAGTGAAAAGTAACGTTCAAAACATGAGTGAAAGTGGATCTATACATATTCTTGACCATATTATTTTAAGTGCTCGATTTGATATATGTAATGACTCACTTTTTACCCTGTTTATGAAATATGTTATTTGGCTGTGCTATTTTTTTCTCTTGTACAAAGACAGTCAATAAAAAGTAATTGCATAAAACATTTCATTTGGTCCAAAATATTCGCTTTATTCCTAAATTTCCATTGTTTTACATGGATGGAAACAAAAACTTATCTCATTTCACTTTGATACATTTTGATGGGATTACTTGTTCTTAAACTTTGTGTTTTCTATTACTGTTCATCTCAAGGTTATACTTGACCAGATTAAATTATTTCCTATTGTTGTTCTCAATCCAAGTCATCGTCCAGTATTAAGTTTATTTTTTGTCAAATCTTAGCCAGGACTCTAAACTAAGTGACCTTAACAAGTTGAATTTTTTACATTTTCAGCCCAGTTGTGTTAATTTTCCTAAACTAAACCACACGATTTAAAAAAAATTCATTTTATGGAAACAATAACCAATTTTATTTGGGACGTATCCTGAGAAATATTTTAATCAACGTGTTCAAAGATCAATAAAATGTTTAACAAATTATGAATCTTTACTCCTTAAAATAGTTTTCAAGCAATATTCTGATAAACTATGTCTCATTGTTTTTTTTATATTGGAACATTTTTTTTCTTAATTTGTGTAGTGCCAAACTATAGTAATAGTATTAATTTTGATGTAGTTAAACCTAATGCTTCAGGATTTACAAACATTTAACATTCTTTTTGCAATATAGAAACTTTGTTCTGAAAAAATTCCATATTAATGTGCTAGTTTCTTATCAAAGGCAATCCCTCCCAATAGTCCCAATGATTCAGTTCCTCTTCAAAACTTATCCTAAATGAAGTCAAATGATATAAGTCTAAATTCATGTTGCTGTTTACTTTGTTAAAATGGTGAATAACTATAGAGCAATATTTTATAAGTAATAATATAACTATATGATTCTCTTATGTTTCAATCTTACTTAATTCTTACTAAGGTCTATGTTTCCTATTTAAATCATAATTTCATGTTAATTTATTTATTGTACATACTGTAAACAAGTTGTAAATAGTTTTAAGTTTTGTAATAAAACAATTGTTAACAAAAATAATGGTTTTATTAGTTAAATCTTGATCTCTTAGATTTTGGTTTATGCAGCACTTTCAACTAATAATACTTATACAGTATTTTACTACTAGTCTCAAAAAAGGACCCATTATGGTCCAAGATTTTGGTTTACAAGAAAGCCGAATGCAGAAACAACTTTCAAAGCCTAAAATGGGACTTGACGACTTTTGTTACGAGTAGTGATGAATATTTTTCATAACATTACAATTAATACAGGGAGCTGCAGGAATATCTGACGGTTTTCAAGCGAGTACAGTCCGGCAGCCGAGTGGAGGGGTAGTGGGGAGCGGCTCATTCTCAAGGCCAAGTGACCCCATTTCAGTCGCCATGGAGCAGTGGACCGGTATACATCGCGCGTTTGTCGTTGACGCGTATTTTAAAAGTGGCGATTCTGTTGTTGATACACAACGTAAGTTTCGTAGGCATTTTAATGTGGCTTGTGGGGAACCTATCCCATCCCGAAACACCATCAAATTGTGGATGGATACCTTTAGATCCACAGGTTCAACTATTCGACCAATACCTAAAATTCTGTTTGTTTACATAGCCATCTAGGTGAAAATGGGCCTCATCACTCATTACAAGAATTTTTTTGTCATCCATCAAATCAATCATTTGCTCTGAAAATGTTTGACGATTAGCGTGGTCGTGAGGCTGAAGTTTTTGGACGATTGCTATTTTAAAGTGAAGGTCTGAGTGCAAAATTCGTCAAATAGAGCGATCAGACGTGGCATGCAGCTTGTCTACGCGCCGGGCGATGCGGGCTCGTTAGCACAGCTTGTCGCACTCGCTCCACGTTCTCCGGCGTCCTCACTGACCTTGGATGGCCTGTAGGCCTACGTTTTGCAGTTGATCCTGTGGATCTAAAGGTATCCATCCACAATTTGATGGTGTTTCGGGATGGGATAGGTTCCCCACAAGCCACATTAAAATGCCTACGAAACTTACGTTGCGTATCAACAACAGAATCGCCACTTTTAAAATACGCCTCAACGACAAACGCACGATGTATACCGGTCCACTGCTCCATGGCGACTGAAATGGGGTCACTTGGCCTTGAGAATGAGCCGCTCCCCACCACCCCCCTCCAACCGGCTGCCGGACTGTACTAGCTTGAAAACCGTCAGATATTTCTGCCGCTCCCTGTATTAGTAACACAACACATTTTGGTTTGAAAAGATGACATTTTATTTTATTGGTAATTATCTTAAACGTTTTTATAGCAAGATTTTATTTTGCAATTTATGTAGTGTTAGCTGACTTTGCTAACCAAATTTTACGTTCATAAAAATTATTATAGTTCAGTGGAATGTTAATTTACATTAACATAGCTGTGTTTTATTGTTAAAAAATATTACTTGAAACAAATTTTGAAAAAATCTTAAGATGTTTGCAATTTAGGATTACGAAGTGAAGTGGTGAGTAGTTAAGTGTTCATGCAGAATTATCAGAGGTTTCTGTCTTGATATTCTTTAAGTCATCTATTGACTTAGTGCTTAGCTTATACCCATATACTCTCTTAACAGAAGCAAGGAAGCAGACATTCAATTGTTCTTCCATTATAAAAACAACAGTATCAATAGCCTTAGTTGACATAGTCATCACCAATCAATTTGGAGTTCACATTTGGTTTTGTTGTTTTGTTTATTCGCTTGATTTTCTGCTATTCATGTTGAAAACTATATTATGTATCCATAAAATTGTACTTTTTTTAAGATTTAAGACTGTTTTAAACTTTGTTTTTAAAATCTTTAGATTTAGACCAAATTGTGTTCCAAACATTATTTTTCTTGGTTATTAGTTTTTGTAGTTTTCTGTCATTTAGAATAATAGATGTTATTAGTTTTTGGACTTTTGGGTCATTTAAGGCTTTACATGCATTACAAACTACAGTTTCCCAATAAACATCTGTATTAAATTAACAGTAATAAAGTTTACCAAGTTATCGTTAATTTAGTATCTTTCAGTATATTATTAATTTATTCTTCCTCGATTATATTATGACTTACTTTTACTTATGGTACCACTTTTTATTAAATTTTTTAGACATTTTTCATTGTCTACGCCAATGGCTATTCATTATAAGGAAGTACAAGGAAAAGCTGTCCAAAGTGCATTTTTCCATTTTCCATTTTTGTGTTTGTGCCGGGGACCAAACCCGAACTCTCATATTTTTGTGAGTCAAAATTTTATTCTACCACTTAATCTTAACTAACAACATGGTAACAAACATTACTGCGAGACCTTATAAAAACACATTTATTCTAAGCTGTACAGAGAGGTCTATGCCATTTCACCAGGTCTAAATATGAGATTATAGTTGTCAGAAGCAGAGGGTCCGGCTTGCTCAAAATGGAAAATGACTGGCGCTGGTGCCGGCGCCGGCGCTGCCACTGCCATCTGTAGTGCCAGGATGACCCCTTGTAACACACAGTGCCTTCTAAGTGAACGTGAAGCCACAATTTACAAGTTAGGGATCGGAAAAATACATGACGATCTTTTCAATTTGCTAACAACTCTCTACAAATGTTTTTGTAGGTGTGAGGCACAGATTTTGTGTGTAGAAGTATTTTCAGTAAGACTTGCATCATGTTTGTTTACAAGTGTGTTTTATTTAGAGTGTATTATGTTTGGTATTTTTTAAATGTTTTTTTTTGCATTCCAACAATTTTTGGTGTTTCGTGATTCCTACGGATTGGATGCTGTGTTATATATGAAAAATGTGTTTCCTATACATTTGCCAACATATTTTATGATTGTTTTTTTAAACAGATTCTACTAAAATATAATTTTAAATCGTCAAATATTTGGCCACACCCTGTAAAGCATATAAATTTCAACTTTCATCAGTTAGTGCCAATTTCAACAAAGTAAAAACCTCATTTTAATCGGCACTTCACTAGTTTGAAAGTCAAATGGGAATATGATGAAGACAACGTAATACAACAGTATTTATTATTAACTGTTATAAGTTAAAAAATAACTAAAACTATATTCCCATTCTCAAGAAAAGCTCTTCTTCATAATTATGTCCCGGAGCAGGGCCTGCAGGGGCGTAATATGCGGAAATGGCAGGGTCGGCTCGGCCAGAAGGCGATGGTACGGCTACCGGCCGGGGCAGACAGGATACTTGTTGGCTCAGAAGTAGGCCTTGCAACAAGCAAACTCATTTTTCTACGTGTAGTTAGCCGCTACAACTAATGTTACACTAACACCAGTCACTTCCCGGTATGTAAGTCCATTTGAAGCCCCACTCTACCATAAACTATGAAAAAAAGCCTGCTACTAACGTTAAATTCGGCTTGTCAGATCGAATTGTCAATTTCTAAGATACCTTGCGATTGGTTCTACTTTTTCTCTTCAGCTCACATCATTGGAAGAAATCGTTGCACTTATGGTCGATTCAGCTTGTCGGGTCGGCTTGTTGGCTTCGAATTGACAAGCGAAATTGAACGTGTATCACAAGCGTAAAATTTCCGATTGAGATTTAATTGTTTTTATGATAGGCTAATTGGTTTGGAATGACAAATTGTAATCAGGATTTGGTAAACTAAAGTACCAGACTTTAACTAGGTTTTTTTACATTATTGCATTTTATCATCTCAGCTATGTTTCTAAAATTTAATAATCATAAATAATTTTGAATTTAGAAATATAAAAAAAAAACCATTTCATATTTCTGAGAAACAGTTTTTTTCAAATAGGCTAGAAGAAAATCACGAATATCTGTTTGGAATAGAGTGGTAGAGCAGAGCCTCACATGTTATTGTGTTGGAAATTATAAATTGGTAGAGTTCAACTACATAGTCACTGATGTAAATGATATGATGGATTTTTATCATTGGGAAAGATATATTTTAGTGTATGTTGAACACAGTGTGAATGTACTAGACAACCCACAAAATAATTTCTTCTTCAAAACACTAATGGAATGTTTCTTGGGAGCATTTTGTCATTGATCTGTTATAATATTTGGTACTTCACAGTATAATTCAAATCTTACCTTTTACTCTTAAATCAACTAACTAAATCACACTATATTAGATCTTCCTCATAATACCAAGCTAACTATTTACTCAAAAACATGGAAATAGTGTTCTAATGAATGAAATGGAGCTATTATTTATTTTAAATATATTTAGTGCATATGGCCTTTTGTTATCAAACATTCTATATGGATCCTACATAAATATGCGTCTACCATAGTGTACCGTAATACAGTTAGTCTTTAAATACGTACACTTTATCAATTTTGCCATGCTCCAGCAAAGGAAGCAAAATACAAAATTTAAACAATATGTTTTATAGTTAAAAATTATTTTTTGTAAATTTATTTTTGTTCAATGTAAAAAGATGCAGTTGTAAAATTAAAAACACAATAGAAATAAGTTCCTGAAGGGTCTTCCAAGGTATTGTTTTAGGGAAACTTTTGTTGCTCATAAATGTGAAATTCCAAAGTTCAGATGAACACGGAGTCTCTCATAGCGGTATTTAAAAGCCACTAATGTTTCTTTTGTAAATGAACTTCACTTTCCTTAAATTGTTCTTGATAATCTGATGTCATTTATTCATATTAGTAAAGTAATGTTTTAACATAAAGTTATGAATTAAGGAAAGCAATTTTTATCAAGAAAATTAACTGACTCGATCATCAACCCTTCAATCAAAAAGCTACTAAGTTAAAACTTCCACTTAAAATTTCAAAAATATTTTGATGTACATTTTAAATTTATGAATCATGTTTGGAAGAATATTTTATACTCATCTTTTACAATGAAAATAAAACAATCCTTACCTAATAAGACAACAAGAACCGCCCTCCACATGGTAGAATCTCGTAAGTCGGTAATCAGTATGTACAAGTCTTATCAGGTAGACCTCTCTGTGTGTACTGAGAGTATGAATGTAAACATACTGTACAATAAAGATAACGGTTGTTAGTTATTGATTCTAACGTTTTCCTCCTTGTGATAAGACTGGTAGGACGTCAAACAATTTATTGGATAACAATCAAAAGAATAGAGTAAAATAATGTAGTCAGAGTTTTTCTTTTAATGGTCTATTCTATACACTTGATTTGTATCTGTATGGTGGTAAACAAAATAGGCCCTAAGCATATTGTAAAAGGAAAACATAAATTGGAAGTAAACTGTCTTGTGCATTGCAAAACATGGCAGTTATGATACATCCCCTCCTACCTGTAAAATGTCTCTGCAGACAAATTTTCAAACATACAGTTGTTATTATTTATTTGGTAGCTTGTGATGTAATCTCACTGAGTGACTTAAAGGAAATATAACAAAAGCTATGGTTTTGTGTTAAAACACTACTAAAAGTAAATTTGAGAATTTATCTGATTATGGTTTGTTTTTTTGGGCAGGGGGGGCTTGCTTACCGGGAAAATTATTGGTAAGATGCTCATGGATACGAAAAAAGTTGGACAACACTTAGCTTACATTTTGTTCTAGTGTAGGACTTCTTAAAAGAGTTTGTACATTTATCTTTGTCTACTTAATTTACTTCTATATTCTCTTAATAGAGTGTTAAAAACTCCCTTTGTAGACTGCAAACTACTTGTCTGTCATAAGAAGCCCCACACTAGAGAAATATATCAGGATTATGTTATTTTATTTTACATTTGATTTTATCTATATAAGCCTCGTGATTTTAAATATTCTCAGGTGTGACAATTTAATCCGTCTCTTGGATTTATTAAAACCATAACCATAAATTTATTTGAGTTATCAAACTGCATTGTTGTTATGCTAAGTTTCTAGTAAATAATTAAACAAATTTATTTTCACCACTCCGTAACGAAAGTAACTATTTTCGATAACAGCTGACATCAATGAAAGTAGTCGTTTCCCAAGCTCTAATTTGGGGCGAGGGAAAATCGATCGGCTGATTTTCTCTCGCTCTAAATTTACTTTCCCTCGCTCTCTATTAGTTCTCCATTTATTCTCTACGCGCACTAGTGTTTTGTTACGGTTTAGTTTAATGATTTGAAAGAATCAGCTGTATGAATTAATTGTCAAAAGTTGTTTTATTCTTTCATTTTTCATATTTAACAAAATTGATTGAGAAATATACGTAGGTTTCCTTTTAGATGATTGTTATTTTAATTTGATGTTCAATCAAATTAATTGAGCAATAAAATAGTTGTAATATTACTGAGGTCTGCTAATCTGTGTTTGTGTATTTTTGCGTCGTGATGAAAAGTATCATTCATAACTCGTACCGAAAGTTATCATGCGGCCCTTACTCCATTATTCCCGTCATCGGATTCGCCTCGTACGTGAAAATAGCTCTCACATACTCGGCTTGGCCTCGCATGTGAAATTGGGGTTCCCTGTGTTCGGCTTCGCCTCACACAAAAACTCGAGCGCGCGACGGAAAATGCCACTTTCGGTCCTAGTAATGAAATATACTATTTATAAATTGATGCCCCAACTTAACCTCAACTCTGAACAATTGAACTTTGAACAAGTGATCCTTCCAATTTGACACCCAACCAATCACCCGACAAAGTGGGCTTCCTTACACTGATTATAGTACAGAAAGCTATGACGAAATTTCGGGTTGAGAGACAAAATTATATTTTTAAGTACGTAATTGTCGTCTCACCTGAAATTCTGTCACACCTTAAATTTGTCCAGATAGCTTAGCCTACAATGAGATAGTCCAGGGCTCTAACGTATTCGTTATTTAATTATCGTTTTGAGTTTATATGAACCAGAATATTAATTACAACAATAATGCTTACAACGTTAAGCTTACCTTTAACAAGTGCTCATCATAGCCACTCAAAAAATATGTGAAGCTAAATTTAGAATTTTGAATAAACTATCATGAATGCGGATAACCTAATTAATTGGGAACTTGACCTAAACGTGATTCGTTCGTTATACTTGGTAATCACCAAAGTAAACGTGTCGGGAAAATTAGACTCGGTTGATCACCAGAGTCAATACGGGGTTTCTTAAATCTAATTTACGTAGGACGGTTCGGAGTAACGGAATAAGTTGTACGTAAACCGTTCTGGCAACTTAAATGATTTCCTAAGCTGGTTTAAGACAAAAGGTAGTGTGCTCGTACGTGAAAAAGCGTGCGGGGTGCGCGCAACTGCGGCACAATAAAATAAAAAAAATAATAAAATTTCTCTAAAAATGAGATTAAACAAAATAAATTCGGTAGCACACTAACCTGATGCCTTATGACTCTACCAGGAACGGGGGAAATCTTTAACTGACCAGAATGATAAAGTTAGATGTTACGTTAGACCGTTGGTTTTATCTCCAAACAACAAGTGTATTGACTGTTCGGTGGCGGGTGGACAACTCACCATGAGGTCTGCTCTTCTGGCCCTTCTTCACCATCGCCCCTGGTGGCGGGGTAGGTAACTAGCGTCCTCCCCTCTACGATGACGTAGGAACCCTACCCCTATGATGCCGCTGACAACGCGGGCGCGGCTTACCCCAAACGGTAAAGATTATAATATCTTAAAATGAAACTTTAAAAATCTGGTTTTTACCCCTTGGTGACCATGCGCGCGCAGTCGGTCCCACAAGCACGCGCAGCGAGCCATGAGAGCAGTAGTAGTGTGGTGTCGACCGCCTGGAGCTGTACATCTAGTCCGGATAAGTACCTAAGTTAGAATATGTCTAGATAGCTTCGTAGGGGTTGGGGAAGGGTGTAGGTTAGGGTAGATAGTAATTCAATTATGTAATTTATTAGGTTCTCCAATGGTCGTGGTCTGGCAATTAATATCACAAATTTAGAATTCACATTTGCTAAATCTAGTTACCTTTTTCACAAATTAGAATAAGTCCATATATATATATATTTCTCTGTTCATTATATTATAATTAGATACATTAAGAACATAAAAGCTGGCTGTGATAGGCAGCTAAGGTAATATTGTGCACTTTGACGAGTTAGATCAATTCCTTGCTATAGAGTTGGGTTAGGACAGGAAATGTGCGTGATTTGGCAGTGGTTAGAGGAAGATATATAGGGCCCAGGTATCTTCATTTACACTCAAACTACACCACATCATCACAATACGTTTGTGCTTGAAAATGAATAGGCTGTGGCAACACTTTAAGAGAGTTAAGGTTTAAGAAAGTTTGTTCTGAAAATAATGAAAAATTTTAGTTGTTTTACGTCTACAAAAGACCAAATACATAAACTGGAATGATTAATCAATCCTGCTGCAATTGTTTAACATTCCTAGCCCAAGGTCAAATTTGAAAAAAAAAGATTTTTTACGGATCGTAAAATACTGAACAAAAAAATCTATAACAAATAGTTTAGTTGTAGAAATTTGGTCACAAGTGCAGTAGCTACAGATTAATAAATAAACTGTATCAGCAATCTGACACATACTTCATCCCAGTAGCTGGTCAACAACCTTTATCATGGGTAAGCGATGAGAGTACCTATGATATTTAATAGGTAAAATCACTAAAGTTGCATATAACTTTTGAACCATAACTTTTCAAGGAATGGGGAGGTTGGACTATTTTGTTTGGAATTAATTAAAAGTACCATAACAGATGAATTTCAATAAAAAAATTATTTTTTTATCTTTTTTATGGGTTTTTATGGAAAAATAACATAAGTTATGATAACATTGGAATCGTAATTTTTACAGAAATGGGATTTCTACCAGTTTGTTCAGAATTTAAAGGGCTACAACATACTAAATTTTTATCAAACTGGTTCAAGCCATTTTCAAGAAAATTTGATTTTTCCGTTATTTTATGGGTTTTTTAGGAAAATTACCACTAAAAATCTAAATTTAAAAAAAGTGAAAAAAGCGCCTGGAGATATATCAACTCAAAATTCAGACTCAAAAACAATACTTTCTCCATATACTGTATAGAAGGAGAGTGTATAGTCTGGTACGGTATATCGAAAAAAAGAGAAAAAATTACACCAGAGTGCTTACATAGAAACAGATTATTCAACAAACTAGGAATAGCTACAAGGAAATGATTATTCGAACGTCAGAAAAAACTAAGATATGATTGTTGGTAATTTTTTTCTTATTTTCCTACTCTAACAACGTTTACACTTACATTTAAAAAACATTATATCTATGCCCTTAACCGTTAATTCCATTATTGACATTTTACTTGTTTCTCTATTTATAAACGAACCAACTTCGGTCAAATCAAAGCTTGCACTATTTAATAAAATTTTATTTTTGAACCATCACAGTTTGTACAAAAGTTTCCATGTTGACTTTTTGAGACTACAAATAAATAAATGAATTCAAACCAAAGAGTAAGAGAGTCAGTAAAAAGTGTCAGGCACAGGGTTTCGAGGGCCGGTGATACTGATGGGGCCTGGGTTAGGACCAGGGTTGAACATGCCGAAGTTGAAAGACGTGGGGTTGGGCCATGCCATGGCCCTCGGCAGAGGAACCCCTAGAGAGCTGCTCACCAGCAGGAAGACTCCTGCAATAGACAGTATTTCATGTTAACATAACATGTTCGTGGAGAACAGGAAAACTGGTCAAGAAGATATCTTCCGTGGACCTTTCAAAGAACAAAAATACTGACCATAGTAACATTCCACAGCTTTCAAAGCATTATTCATACAATAACTTAGCTACCAGCCACAGGGACCTGCACCATCACAACACCAGACTTCCAATCAAGCGAACACGAACGGGAAGAAAACCATCCTATATAAGGAGCTGTATACTTTTCCAGAGACCAATTCGACCCGCTTCAAAAACCAACTTTTAGACAGGCTGATGGAAAACCCCTTCTTAACAGAATAAGAGATTACAAAAATATGACGTGCTGGTTCTCTCAAACTGACAATTTCATTGTACTCTTTCCTTTTATACTGCATTTTACTGAATTTCTTGTGTTGTTTGACATTGTCTATAGCAATGTAATGTTGACAAAATGGCAATAAAGAGATTTTGGTTGATTCTGTGAAATGTAACAAACAAAAATGACTTGTGACGCTTGTCTATGTGAATCCTCTTATGACGTTTGTACTGTTCTCAACGTTGCAATAAAGAATATTGTCTATTCCCTGTCATCTATCACTACAGTCACAAACATTTACACGTTAGATGGGTACTTTTTTTAACTAATGAAAATTAATACAGTTTTATTGTAAAGTTATGTTCTGGTAAACTCTATATAGCCAATTTAGTGTATGAAGGCCATCAGTTAGCCTGGAAGCGGATTGGGTTGGTTTCTTACTTTAGGTGTTCTAAAAGGAAAAGATGCAGTTTCAGTTTCATAGTAGGACAGTTTTCCTTTTGTTGGTGTTCACTTTTGTGAATTGGAAGGGTTAAGTCAGATGCTTGTCTAGTGTTGTGTCGTTGTAGGTCTTATGTTGGGTTTGTTGTGAGGCTTTTGCTTGGAGAATGGTTTGGCGAATGTGATGTTTTTTGTTCTTTGAAAGGCCCACTTAAGCTCAATATGATAAATAGGTTACATACCTTATAAATCCAACAAACAGCTAATTTTTTATTGAAATTCGTCTACATGTTTTGGCTTGTATCAACCATTGTCAAAACATCGAAGTTCGATGGTGAAATCCTTGTCATTGTTTCCTACTAAAAGTACATACACATACACAGACGTGACGAAGACATTACGAAAACGAATAAAACTTTGAATAGGCCTATTACGTCTAATACGCGGGCAAGATGCGCACCGTTGACAAGGTCAGGCAGGGCCCAAAACTCAAAAGTTTTGACGAAATTAATACTTTCTCTATTTACCGTACCCTATTATGTATAGGGGGATAAAGTAAAATCGCAACCCCAACTAGTTTTGAGGTACAGTAAGCTTATGACATAAAAAAGTTCCCTTTGGCCTCTCTTTCTTTTTAACCATTGGTATTCAGAGTTAGATCACGTAGATCACCTGATTCCATGACCTAGGACATTAGTAGACTAGTTTGTGCCAGGCAACATCAATGGAGGGTTTTTATGGGATGAAAGTATGGATGGTCAAATATAGAAATTTGGAATCCAAATACAGGATGTTTAAAAAAGAGTAGTCTGATTTTACAGGTTTACTAGCAGAATACCCGTCCTTCGTACAGGGTTGGAGTATAAATATAAAATGCTTATTGCAGTAATAAAAGGCTTTGCGTTTGCAATGGGAGAGGACACGGATTAAGAAAATTTGGTTCTTTAAATTTACGGTATGCTATAGTATAGCACATCTACTATAGGCATAATGTTCTACCACTGCACCTAAACAATAGAAAAAAGTTCTCATTGTATATCACAGCTTTTTGTTGCTAGTTAGTTCACCATAGTTTACGGCACTCCCAGCAGTGTGCGCCAGAACCTATGGTAACCATGGTAACCGTAGCACGGCTGACAGTCTATATTTAATTCTTTTTGTCTATGATATCATAAAACTAACTTGTATAGTTGAAACAGCTGACAAAATTCTTTAATTCCTTTTAAATATGAATAAGGTTAACATGGGAAACTCCAGAGCCACTGGGGTGGAGACCATTACCATTTATCATTTCGTTTTGTCATGAGAGCAAGAAACTCCCTGACTGCTAACCCGGTACCTATAATTAAACATACCCGGGCCCCATGATGTAGGCCGAAGCTTTCGCACCGATCTTTGGTACACCATGGGAGGATGACTTAAGGTCATCAAGCTCACCGGCTGCCGAAGCAACCCTTCGGAAAGAGGGTTGCCCCTCAATCCTAACCAGGGATACCGGCTACTTGTTTAAGCGTCACTTCACCTGGGTTCCCCCAGGTACGGAACCCAGAAGGACCATAGTGAAATGCCCTGACGCATTTAGTGCAAGCAACACTCAGGACCTATCCAATCCCTGACAGGCAAAACCCGCCATCAAAGCCAGGAAGAAGGGGACCACCAGCAAGCTGATGGGGGGAACCCCAACCACCCATTTACACCACTACCCGATCGAGGCCTTACCCAGTTGCTGGGAAACCAGAGGTGACCAAGGCGATAGATCCCTGAACACCCCCAGCGGGCTTGAACCCAGCACCCGATCTACTTCATTTGCCCATCAAGCCCAACATCACTGCCAGGCCGTCAGGGTTTCCCAAAAGGAGGCAGGAATAGAAGTGGGTCCCACCCGGATGAACCTATCCACCAAAGGTGGCGACACCCTTTGCTCAATTGAGGTTCCAGGGAGAACCCCCCATACTCTAGATAACCATACCTTCCGGTCTCAGAGACAGGGATTAGCTGATGGAGTGCGCCCAGCCGTTGCCCTCACACTGCGGAAAGTTACGTTCCCCTAGAGTGTCCCCGTGAACTGACGGGTACTTGCCCGATTTCACCTCCAGGAAGGCTACTTCCAAAGTCGAGGATTTGCCACACTGAATGCCGGTCGCACATCAACAAGCGGGCCGGAGCCCAAAGGATCATAGCTACAGGCAGATGATAGATTGGTGGCGCACTTCCACCTCTTGCAGAGCTGAACACCCCCCATAACCTGGATGGGGAAATGTCACTGGGTACTCTCACTTTGGGTAAACCCAAAGAGGCTGGCTTGTCCAGTCGTCCATAACTATGACCTACTTGCAATGCCGATTCCGACACCGAGCAGTTACCTCCCCTTTGGGGGCTAACTCACCCAATTTTTCACCTCCCAGGACGAGGCTACTTCCAGAGCCGAGGATATGCCTCACAAAATGTCAGTCGTACACAACAGGCAGGACGAGCCCGAAGAACTCCAGTCACAACCACAGCTACAGGCAGGTGGGAGACCGAAGTCTCGCAGAGCTGAACACCCCTCCACCCTGAATGTTGGAAATGTCACTGGGTACTCTCACTTTGGGTACCACCCAAAGAGGCTGGCTTGTCCAGTCGTCCATAACTGTGGCCTACCTGAAGTGCCGGTTCAAACACCGGGCAATTACCTCCCCTCTGGAGGGCAAGAGCTAGGGTCCGCGTGGTCGCTAGGCCACGTACTGGGGTGGAGACCCCAGTTCCAACAAAACTACCCAGTTCCAACGCCATGTTGTTTCCAGTTCTGGGGTGGAGACCGAAAGAATTTTTCAGATAAGGGCCCTTTCACACGAGGCCACTGGTGGCGGCCACCGGTTACCGCCCGGGCAACTGCAGTGGATGGCTGGATGGTACAGGCAACTGACAAACCATCTCCACTATATCCACTGTACAATGGTAATGGTAGTTGCAAAAATGCTACCGAACAATGAACATCTTCTACTTCTTGCGTTGATAATAAAGAAAAGAAGGCGAAGACACATGCATACTATCCCAAATTGCCGGGTACTTTTCAATTTCGCAAGTAAGATCTTCAGGAATCACTTTGTCTACTATTATTTTGTTTAGTCTCTTATTCTGTTCTTCTTCTTTTGTCTTCTTCTTTTTCAGTAACGTCCTCTTTTTTTTCTTCTGATCCCACATTTTCACAAACAACAATTCAACACAAAGACACTCAACAACTACCACAGTGTGTTTGTTTCTACAGTCTGCACGTGAACTTGACAAAAAAAGTAGCTACGTGAGCATCCATGGTGGCGGCCACTGGTTGCTGCGTGTGAAAGCTCTCATTTAAAATAATGTCAAAGCTGTGGCGGGCAACCAGTGGCCTCGTTTGAAAGGGCCCTAAGAATATATCTATATGTTAATCGGGAATGTGAGCTATCACCATTCCAAATTTCAGCCCAATCCAACCAGTAGTTAAAGCGGGATTGAACTTCAAACAAACAAATAAACAAACAAACACACCAACTTTCAAATTTATAATATTATTAGTAATATCATATGGACATGAGATTAGATTTATATTAAAGGATAACAACTATATAAGTTTGTTTACATAGATTTGCTCAAAATGACCCCTTTAGAATAACAGAAATAATTTGTATAGATAATAAAAGGAATAAGGTGTAGCCTGAGCCTTTTCTTTGCTGAGAACACTGTTATGAGAGTTATAATAGCTATTTACCTTACAAGTGTAGTAAGAGGGTTTTTACATCACGCAGGTGAATGTTGTGCAACGAGCAGAAGCGAGTTGCATAATAACCTTAGTGATTTAAACACGCCCTTGCGTAACGTGTAACGTACAAGATTTTACCTAGCCCGACAATATACAGGATTTTACGAACAATATTTTTCATTATCCATTTCACTTATCTTCTAACAGTAACGTTCATTTACAAACAAAAGCTAGGTTAGAAAAATTCTTCAAAACATAACAATAAAATTCCAGCGTGCAGCTGATTTCTAGCGTTGAACGTCGTTGGCTCCATAGAGGTATATTTTTAAGTTAAGCACTCAATGCTATTTAAATGGGTTTCATTGCATCACCAAGTGAGTTTTTTTCAACTTTACATCACTCGAGAAGTAAAGAAGTTGTATACATCACGCTTGGGATAGGGACGTTAAACATGGCGGGTTAGGTAAACTATTTACCCAACCCGCCATGTTAAACTTCCCTATCCCAAGCGTGGTGTATACAACTTCCTTACTTCACGAGTGATGTAAAGTTGAAAAAACTCACTCGGTGAGGTTAACTTAAAAAATATACTTCTATGGAGTCAACGACGTTCAACGCTAGAAATCAGCTGTGTGCTTGAATTTTATTGTTATACAATATGCTTTGAAGAAATTTCCTAACCTAGCTTTTGTTTGTAAATGAACGTTACTGTTAGAAGATGAGTGAAATGGATAATGAAAAATATTGCTCATACCTCCTGTATATTGTCGGGTCAGGTAAAATCTTGTATGTTACACATTACGCAAGAGCATGTTTAAATCACTTAGGTGAATTATGCAACTCGCTTCCGCTCGTTGCACAAAATTCACCTGCGTGATGTAAAAACGCTCTTTTAGCGAATTTCCCATATAGGGAATAAGCTATTACCGTAGTACTCATGGTAAGACCTGGACCCGGGACCGATTTAATTTTTCATTTGGAGGTCCCAAGAGGCCAAAAAACACCATCCGTTCAAATTCATATATATATAAGTCCGTTAGTGCGATAACTCAAACAAAAATGATCCGATTTTGATGAAATTTGATACAAACGTGTAAACCTACGTTTATTCAGTTTGCGATCCAGCATAATCGGACCATGGGAACGGGAGTTTATGGGGTAAAAATGGGGCTTTCCCATTTTTGACCCTAAAAACAAAAAATTTTGCAATTTCTTTTTAAACCGTTTTGTAGAGCTTAAAAAAAAATTAGTATATTAAAGCGCTGTTGTATGCCTAACGGTCATGGAGAAAATTCAAAAATAGTGTAATTTAAAATTCCCATGTTATTCTTAAGGAGAAAATGAAAAATAAAAATTGTTGTAGTTTACTTTGTTTATGGATATATATTGATAAAATTTGGTAAATTTATTTATTTCATCCTATACTGTTGACATATGGTCAAAAACACTTTTTACCTTCCCCGTAGCAGCAAACCTAAGCACTCGTTAAATCTAATGTTATTTAAATAGGGAATAAATATGTCTTATTTTATGGAAATATTATAGTAAAAATGTATAATCAGACACGTTGAAATTTGCTTAGTCTGCAGGTTTGCTGCGGCGGGGGTATTTACACTTGTAATGTAAACAGCTATTATTCCCTCAGATGGAAACAGATTCTAATAACTTCATATACGGCAAGATGGTGCCTTACCACACTGGAGCCTTCATGTAAGAGTTTTTAAATTACCATTTGAGGTAGGCTTACTCAAAGATGGATTAGCCATACTGGACCTTACTGTTTGTGGTTTATTTTATTGGGGGTTGGTAAAAGACACTGTTTGTATACCTCCCCTTCCAACGACATTGGTTGAACTGAGGAGCCGTATTAAAACAGCCATCAAATCCATCAGTCAAATACAGGGAGCGGCAAAATTATCTGACGGTTTTCTCTGCCGTCCTGTTGAGCGAGTAAAAGATTGAGGGTGTCGGAAATAGGGGCATTCCAAAGCCTACGTGCGGACATTTTTATTAATCCAAAAGATGTAAGATCCAAAAATTCCAGCTCAAAATTTGAACAGCCACAGCAAGTAGCCCAAAAGCCCGAATGGGGTTTAGTTACATTGCTAAACAAGAATAAACCTACCTCGTACGTCATGGTTCATGATCTACCTTTTTATTAAGTTTCAGTCCAGTTAGTTTTGTAGTTTGGGTGTTCACCCTATCCTTAGCAGAAGTCGCCTATATTTTATAATATAAAAGATTAAATGTCAGCGATCTTAGCTCCTATAGCTGCTTAGTTTAAGATATATATCACCAATCTAACTGCAAAGTGCACTAGGTCTTAAGTGCATTGTTCTTTATTCTGCAAAATTTACAAATCATCACCAAGTAAAAACATAAAACAAGCTAAGTCCAGGTATTTTTTTTCTTTCAAATAACAAACAAAGATGGTCACACAAGCTGATAAGTAGGTTGATCTGAAGTCAGAGCTATGACATACTATGTACCGACAATCTAATTAATAAATCAAATACATTTATTAGCTCTTATAAATTTACCCAATTTCTATAAGCATTACATTTTGCTGAAGTTATATTAAATTTGACAGAAAATTTTACAAAATTCTTCTAACCTTGAGCATAGTGAAACTAATTTTTTTTTTTTAACATTCCATAATTTGGTTATGTATTTGTTTGCGTATGATCTGTTGACAAACTAGTTTGGTATCCATACTGTTGAAATCTAACCGCACAGTTTTGAAACTTTTTAACTAATCTATATTTTATACCAATTTGTTGTTTCAAAATTTTCAACAAACAATAAACTTAACATTGAAAACAATGTTTGACTTAAAATACTTGAATGCAACATCAAGTAAAATCCAAGAGCATAAAACACAGGGGAAATAAATCATAGAGTGTTCACATCTTATCTTGTAAGATGTCACCCATAAATTTTGCGAATGCAACAAAATAAAATTTGCAATCACTTACCAAGAAGCCCCAACAGAGCAAATCTCATCATGGCAAAGTGTAGCCCACTAGTTACAGATTTTTCCCACAAGTAGAGACAGTTTTATTGAATTAAATGTTGTAGAAATTTATAACAGCTCTTATCTTTGAGAGAAACTGTAAACAATTTCAGTCCAGGAAGTTTGTTATCAATTCTCATGGCCAAGTTACAGAACTGGGGCAAAGGCAGGACTAATCTGTTTCTTTTCGCACAGACTGTAAATTTTCAAGAATATGTATAGGGAATGTTTTTTCCATGATAAAAATGATGGTGTAAGGTTTGACCTAAGGGCATATCATTTTGCGTTTCCCCCTATAGTATCAAACGCATGTTAATTGTCTGCAGTGCTGTTGGTATCTCTTTAGACATTATGACACATCATGTTTAACAACTTACATGCGTGTTATATGGGCTAATTTTGAATTTTTGAGTTATAACATTTACTGTTGGTAATTCAAGCTCTCAATAATTCAAAACTTTCGATAATTCAAAATAAAAGCTCAGTCCACAGAGAACTTCTTTATATAGTTCAAAGTTTTACCATGCATTTTGATACACTAAGTATTTCTAAGTCCAAGCAGAGGACAGGCCAATTTGGAATACACAGTAATTTGGAGTTTTATTGGCAAAACACTCTATAATTTAAAGGGAGGGATTCCTTCCTGTGATAAAAGGAAACCTGCCATCGCACTAGTTTGTCTTAAATAGTGTCGTTGATGACGCAAGATATTTTGTAATTTAATCGAGTATCTAAATGATTTAGTAACTAATTAAATCAAAATCTGTTGTTTGATGTAAAGTAACCAAAATAAAGTAACATTCTGTAGTAATTAATGATTTGTAATTCAAATGATTTTTTCCCTTGATAAATATAACTTCTTGATAACTCAAATTTATTTGCTTTGCCCACCAAATTCAAATTATCAAATATTTCAAATAATAATATTTCAAATTATCGAGAGTCTACTGTATGTATGAATATTTTTAAAAATGATTTAAAAATTTTTTGGTGACATTATTGTAATATTACATATAGTATTATAAAGGGGACACCTGTTCTTCAAAGCTCAATTTTCTTCCTGTTGCAAAGCACAGATCAATTTTAATTCCATCATTGTAAGACCGACGGTTTATCTGAAATCAATACATTGGAAACCTTACGCAATTTACCCGATATTAAAATGTAGAAATAGAAGGAATAACCACAACGAGGAGTCCTATGTGAAAATTATGCATTATAATATAGTTCAAAACTTAATTCCAAGGTAAAAATAATATCGCAATTCCATTTTACTTTTCATATATCTACATCTACACCATAAAGACTGAACTTACCCACCTCAACAGAATGCATTTATAAAATAGTAGCCTGTTTCAAATCCATCTTCATAACCGGTTTTGTCTGTCTCTTGTTCACAATCTGACCATGAAATCATTTAACTGAAGAATCAGCTGTAGGATTACAATTCGTATTTAAACCTTCATAAAGAAAGTTAGTCAGCAACACTTAATCTTCAAAAGAGAACCCTAAAAATAAAAATAATGCTAAGGGAGCGAAGCTCTTAAGAAAATAATTTTTTTTCCCTTACTATTCATATCGCAGGTGTGCTAGATAGATCATAAGCTTTAGAATGACACCTCAGTCATTAAAATCAATTAAGTAAAGACAGCTGAAAAAGGGATGTTACAGAGAAAATCATATTGCATTGAGTATCCTTATATACAGGGTGTCCCGGAACTCTCCACCAATATTTTTGGGCATTTATCCTGGGTAAGAAACGTACCTAAATATCATATTTAAATTGTCCGGAAGTCCTTAGTTCTAGTCTCTCACAGCCGCCATTTTGTTTTTTTCAGTTACTAATTTTTTGTCTAAAGAATGGTTAAACATACGAAATGGAAACTTTGCAAAAACATTTATGCCAACTAGACAAAGCTACAAAAATATTATGAAAATTTTTCAAATTCATAAAACAAAATGGCGGTAATTTAAAATTTTCTTTCTTAAATAACTCAAAAGCCATTGATTTTACAAAAATTTTAAATGGCCGCCATTTTGTTTTATGAGTTTGAAAAATCGTGACAATTTTGGTAGCTTTGTCTAGTTGTCATAAATGTTTGTGCAAAGTTTCCATTTCGTATGTTTAACCATTCTTTAGAAAAAAATTAATAAGTGAAAAAAACAAAATGGCAGCTGTGTGAGTAACTAAGGACTTCCGGACAGTTTAAATATGATATTTAGTTATGTTTCTTACCCATGAGCAATGCCCTAAATTATTGGTAGAGAGTTCCGGGACACCCTGTATAATACGTGAAGGCGATTTCTACAAAACACTACTCCTCCGTTAATAATGGACGGATTTTTACAAACGATGTGTCAAAATTAATTATTTTTTGTGTAGACACCCCCTTTCATCAATTACGGAAATAAAAGTCCTCAGGCTTCGCCCCACAGGCCATCAAAGTTGGAGTTTCTCCCATAAGATTAACATGGGGGAATCGAAATATTTAATTTGAAACTTTGTCCCCACTAATTTGAGAGAACGGCTGGGCGTAGAAACTTGGTAGAGGTGTCCAAAGAAAGGTCTTGGTCTATAGATGAGTTATCAAAAGAAAAACGAAGTAAATTCTCTTTGGGCTCTGCCCAAGAAGCCTTTAAAGATCCCTCCACAAATTTGTTTACATTTTGGTCATGTGGATAATACTTTATAATCAAACAGCTGTTAATTTCTAAAATTGTATTTTAAACAACACACATTTGTTGAGAGTTGGTGAATTGTCCAAAAGAAGTATTTGCAATGTTATTTTCTGTTTTTAAATTGATTTTCTTCTATATCACGTCATGTTTTGCAATAACGGTCCATTACGAAATAACTGGAATATCCTTTTATCACAGTGACTCTTACAATTATTTCTTATTGAACTATCTAATATCTATTGACTTTATGTATGTATAAGGCTGAGACAACTAACTGTCATTCCCCATGTCAAGGAATTCCAGCTTTAACAGTAACCCCACAACCAATTTCTCAAAACTATGCTAGAGGGTTATTCATTGGCACAGAAGTACGATATGAACTGACGCGACAAGACGAAGGAAATATCAAACTTACACTGTAACGGTTGGACCTCCTTGAAGTTATAACGTGTCTTCTCAACAAACAGATATTTTTTCTCAAATAAAATCATAGATTAATCTGCTTTACACTGGTAAAATCGCGGATCATATAGAAATCACTACTAAAAAATTTAGCATTTTTTTAAACTAGAGCAGGTAAAGAGATTAACTACAAAATATCCACAAATACAATTTCAATACTTTTTATAGGTTCTTCCAGAAGAAGAGATACCAGTTAAGGGGAGCAGTGCGCGAATACCACTCCCATGTTATTCTTATGGGAAAACATGTGATTAGATAGGTACATTTATTTTTAAAACCGTTAGAGATATTGACTAAAATTTTTTTTATATTCATTCCTTAGATTGTTTTCTATGATTTCATGCTATATAAACAAGAAATTAGGTCTAGTTTTTAAAATATAAAATAAAAAAATTACAAATTTTTTATTGTGTTTTTTTTATAATAATTAACAATTTATTTTTTAAGTAAAATTAATGGTAACATTCTAAAAATGCATGAAACTATTCACCATGGTAACAGGAAGTATTGTGTAAAATTTGGGCATGATGAGTTAAGTACTTTTCTTTAGAATGGTACCTAAACTTATAAAAACTAACTTTCGGATATTCACATTTGAACCCTTGAAGGGCAGGCTCAGTAGAATCCAGAAGGGCCCTCTTTCAAAAATCCGGGAAAATTATTTTTATATACAATATTAGACTATGGGTACTCAAATTGTTCAGTTTTTTTTCCTAATTGCAAATATGCAGTTTGATTTAAGATTGGACTATTACAAGCTTAGTAAATCAGAAAAAACCGGGAAAATGGATAGTTTCCTTAATGTATCTTAATGCAGAATTAATGATTCCTTCTTATATAAAAAAAATATCCAAAGTATAAAGTGTTATATATTTTCTTAACAGCACAAAATACACAATATTTTGTCATCATTTATTAAAAATTTATTTTTTGGGCATTTTCGCACACTGCTCCAACAAACTAATAACAACAACTGTATTAAGCTTGTTTTTTCGAAAGTATTCTTTCAATATCAATAAATCGTAAATAAACTGCAATGCCAGTGAAAGTAGTATGGTTTTTGCGCGCGAAACAGAGTACAGACTTAAGTCACGGAAGGTCAACACAGCCTATCCACCCCTCCCCCTACCACCGCCACTTCACCTTTTACACCTCTGAAATAAATCGTTTTAACGTGAGCAATAAAATAGTTAATCAAATGTCATGCCTATTGTACTAAGCTTGTTTGTTTGTACGTATACTTTCATTATCGACGAATAAATGGTAACAGATAAACTACATGCCGGTAGCAGTGGTGGGGTGGGATATTTGCGGGCCAAACAGACGTGAGTCACAGGACGTTCCGCGTTCAACTGCCCATCGACACCCTCCTCCTCTACCCCGTCACCCACACTACGCTTGATCTGTCGTCTGGTGTTAATTATTGTGCCAGTGTGTTTTTATGATTTTTTGTATTCCGTGGTGTCTCATGAGTGTTATTTCATGTCGAAACAAAGTTAACTGATCGGGTTTTTCGTCCCGAAAAGAAAAATTTGATGGCGTCAGTTGGTGTTGCAATGGAACAACGAATTTAAGTGATTTAATTACTCGCCTTTCAAATAATTTTTTTTTAAATAGGCCAAGTCCCGTTGACATATTAATCAAAATATTCAGTGTTAAAGGATAGAGAAACATAACGTCAAATGTTATCATATAACGAAAAGCCTAGCCTAAGAACTTAAAAAATAAATGTAATCAAAACTAGTCCACATGCAATTAAAGCAAAAAGTTTAATTTCATAAGTACAAAATTGCATAAAATTGTATTAAGTATTAACACCAGATTTCACTTCCTAAACGCTTAAAAATAGTGTTTAGAGAAGTCATTTTTCTCAAATTTTCCCCCTTCCTTGCTGGGGGGAATTCCATACCATACCCAGACCCCCCGGGGGGCGGCGGTCGCCGATCTCGCCCAGGGCGGCAAAGTCCCTGGGGCCGTGCCTGTACAAAACGACATACATCATCAAACAAAAGATGTTAAATTTAATTTAAATCTGTATTAAACTGTATTAATTATTAACTTTAAATAGC